TTAATATAATTAATCTTTCTGTGTGATACTGTATAATCGAAAAAAAAACGACGCCAAAGACGGCTGGGAAATGATAATCGGTGAAAATTTTTACATAAAAGCATAAAGAACATAAAAACACAACTTATATGAAATTAAATTTTGTGGTACTTTGTACAGGATGGCCCATTTTCGCGTGTTTTATTGGGTTTCTCGTTTATGAGCAGAAGTACAAAGATTCGGTTTTCACATTACTATGCTACATTTTTATGAAACTAAAAATAGTACATACATATTTGTCCTAGCCTTCTTAGTTCCTGAAATGCAGGGCGAAATTGAAATTGTTGCATTTTTCGACTCCCCTCATATCTCGGCCATTATAACTTCAGTTGCGCAACTAAAACCAAGATATGAAGAAGGTCGAAAAATGTAATATTTTAAAATTCGCCTTGTATTTCAGGAACTAAGAAAACTAGGTGTGTGAAAAAGAAATGCTGCTATTAAAAATTTATCATAAAAATATATAAAAATCTGACGTAAGCCTTTTACAAAACTTTAAGACTTTTGATGACTTAAGTCTTTTATAAAAAAGATTTAAATCTTTTTAATGACTTAAGTCTTTTCTAGAAAGACTTAAATATTTTTATATTTTTTTATTCGGAATAAAGATTTATATCACAAATCATTTTGAACAACATTTAAATCTTTTTATATTTTTTTATTCGGAATAAAGATTTATATCACAAATCATTTTGAAAAAGACTTAAATCTTTTTATATTTTTTTATTCGTAATAAAGATTTATATCACAAATCATTTTGAAAAAGACTTAAATCTTTTTATATTTTTTTATTCGGAATAAAGATTTATATCACAAATAATTTTGAAAAAGACTTAAATCTTTTTATATTTTTTTATTCGGAATAAAGATTTATATCACAAATAATTTTGAAAAAGACTGAAATCTTTTTATATTTTTTTATTCGGAATAAAGATTTATATCACAAATCATTTTGAAAAAGATTTAAATCTTTTTATATTTTTTTATTCGGAATAAAGATTTATATCACAAATCATTTTGAAAAAGACTTAAATCTTTTTATATTTTTTTATTAGGAATAAAGATTTATATCACAAATCATTTTGAAAAAGACTTAAATCTTTTTACATTTTTTTATTCGGAATAAAGATTTATATCACAAATCATTTTGAAAAAGACTTAAATCTTTTTATATTTTTTTATTCGGAATAAAGATTTATATCACAAATCATTTTGAAAAAGACTTAAATCTTTTTATATTTTTTTATTCGGAATCAAGATTTATATCACAAATCATTTTGAAAAAGACTTAAATCTTTTTATATGTTTTTATTCGGAATAAAGATTTATATCACAAATCACTTTGAAGAAGACTATCTTAAGTCATAAGTCAGCTTTCGAAAAATGACTTAAGTCACTAAAATGATTTAAATCAAAAAAAGACTTAAGTTTTCTATGAGCTTGCAGCTCTGACAGGCGGTATATGCCTCATTGAAACCTTTTTTTGCTTCATCTAGTCAGGAAATAGGTTTTCCTAGAGAAGAAGTTTTCCTAGAAATATCCCTGTTTCAATCACCCTGTACATATTCACTTTAATACGTGTTTTTACGCCACTTTCCCCTACAAGGCGTCTAATGTTTTGATCAAGACAAGATCAAGATCCTTCACGACAGACATTTTTGATTTTTATCAGTATACGAGCAATTTTGAAGTACCTACATATTTTTATATTTAGTAAATTATTAGTAAATAACTATGGGGGCGTTAATTATTTTGTCTTTGTGTGTGATACTGTATAATCGAAAAAAAAACCAGGCCAAAGACGGCTGGGGAATGATAATCGGTGAAAACTTTCGCGGGGTCATTCTTCTAGATGTCATTTAATATCAAAATTCACATAAAACTTAAAATTAATAGGTACTAATTATAAGAAGATTAAATAAGGATAGAACGTTTTCAGACACAAATCTACATATTTCGAAAAAACATATGGTTTCTCGAATTTTAAACTACACCATTTAAAAATCATTTTTACTCAATATAAAAATAATTGACAATCTTCGGTAGTAAGCGCCATTGAAAAATAAAAATGAGTACGGGCCAAGTAAATAACGTCTAGAGCATGACCTGGCCAAAATTATCATTGATTGTCATACCCCAATCGTTTTTGACGCCATTTTTCTTCGATCGTATTTTATAATATGATTGAAAAAAAAACGAGTCAGCTATGGTTGTGAAATGAAGATCATTGTCATTTTATGTTCTAACAATATATGGGGAATGTTTCATTTGTGTTTGTCAAAAACTCTAACGTGATTGGTCGGGCTTAACAGTTGCTGGCTAGGGCTAGACACAAGTGTATTTTATAATATGATTGAAAAAAAAAACGAGTCAGCTATGGTTGTGAAATGAAGATCACTGTCATTTTATGTTCTAACAATATATGGGGAATGTCATAGATATTCATTTCCAAGTAAAAAGGACGCCATTTTTTTCGATCATACAGATTAGGTACAATTGACGGAAAGGTAATAGGTATACATTCATTATTAAGTTTTAAATGAGATTATTTTAATATATATGCTACTGTAAATGTACGAAATGCGGTAAAACCTAGGATAAGCGCGCTAAACCTAGGATTTACCAAAAACATTAACTAATTAGATTAGCCTGGTGATTTGGAGGGTGTTAATGCATTGGTTAGGTGGTTATTTGGTGGAGTTGGTTGGTTTTTACTACCACTTGCTTTTGGTAGATCCTAGGTTTTACCCCATTTCGGACATTTACAGTAACATATATATGTAAAATATCCAAACAAATTAAACCTGTTGACAGATTAAAATAGTATAAATAAATAACAGATAACAGCATTGTTGATGACTAATATTTCTTGAATTACTACGTTAGTACCGTCCTCTGTGTCCTGTACTGATTAAAAATAATACTATTAATTTTTACATTATTATTAATATTTTATTATTTGACGTATGGAGATTTGAGGGGTAAAAAATATTTATATCTAATACATTTATTACTTATATTTAAATTACCCGTTCCTATATTTTATTCAAAAACTAACTCAGTTCCGTGCAAAGCTCCATACCATCAAAAGAAATATTACAAACACAATAGACGATTTTCCAAACGAACTAACGAACCGCATTGACGAACGGCATCGGCGCCGGCGCAGCGATTAGTGAGTGTCGGCCTTAAGCCGTGTAAAATATTCGTAGCAGACAAAAAATGTTAAAAGTTCTTAAGCGTAGAAAAAAAAATGTACCAAGACCAAATACCGTAGACCAAAAAACAAACCTTCTACCACCAGCTAACTATTACCTTTGCTATTACTATGTTATCTGTGGTTTTATCATTCTACTTGAACTGAATCAAGACGTAAGCAAAACAGAAGACGGTTAAAAAATACGTCTACAGAACTGACGGCAGTCCTCTAGACCTAGTTTTTACGTCACTTTAATCATCATCTCTTATCATTTTGAGTTTTTGATTCCTAAATAATTTAAATGGCAAACAACTGTTTGTAATCATTATTTATCCAATATGCGTTAGGGTGTGTCTCATCTGTGATAAGATAGGTACCTAATAATAAATAAATATACTCGTGCTTCTTACTCTGTATAAGTCTAAAATAAACTGTCAAAGCATCATCAACACGCTATATAATTTAAAAAGCAGATCATTTGTGTTTACATAAGACTACACACGTTTGCATTGTAATGCGACAACCACAATATCGCTTTCAATTTGATTGAAATGACGCACTTAATCTTTCGACAATTTGATCGAAACTGACTAGATCGCTCATTTATCGCCTATTGAATGGCAGCCTTAAGGTTTTACCAGTGTCTCTTTTCTCGCGTAAAATAAGTAATAAGCCTGGATTTACATGCATCCGTAATGCGTCGTAAGTATGATCTGTTATTTTTCAAATAAACCAATAAAATTTTATAAAATCACCGACGGACGACGCATTACGGATACATATAAACTCACCTTAAACCTTGCGATGAGAAATTGTTCATTCCCGCTAAATCGGCAACGCATTTTAATAATAAAAAAATTGAATTTCGAATTAAAAATCAAAAAGTCAGAATTAAAAATTGTTTGACAAAGCAAATTTTAATTTTGTCATTGATCGATGTCCGTCAATAAAATTATAACCCAACTCTAATGAAAATTACGAAATTTCATAATTACGTCACCAATCTCTTTAATCTGGTTGCCAAGTGAAAGGGTGACTTTGGCCATATTTATCTTCTTACAGTTCCATACTGTATACAGAACGTCGGCTACCTCTCGCATGTACCTATGATGTGTGGTTGTATCTCTCTTTGTGTATCTCTCTGTGTGTTGTATCTCTCTGTGTGTTGTATCTCTGTATCTCTCTGTGTGTTGTGGTTGTATCTCTCTGTGTGTTTGGTCACAAGTACACGGGACCTACAATTTATCGCCGAATCCGAACGGCACTATTTGAGAGGCTGTACAAGGCAAATATACTCAAGGTGGTTTGCCATTGCCTTCCTTGAAGTGGCGGCTCGCTGGTTGCTCCATTTATATAAAAAAATATTTTTATTTAAATAAATAAAGCGACCGTACTGGTTTGGTACTGGCTGAGGATCGAACCCAGTACCACAGATCACATACAAAACCCAGTACCATCCCATCTCTCGCACCGCAGATCGACACACTACTGCTTGCGCTACGGCCGGCCATTTAGGATACTTCGACAATATATGACGTGACGTTGAACGATTGTTCAACTAACAATACTTAGAGCTCTAGAGTGGTCCAGAATCAGTAACTACCGTCTGCCATATTGAACAATAAATAATTTCAATTTGACATATATTCTTAAAATGATAATTTTAAGTTCTATATTGTAGCTTTTTGCCAAGTATAGGTATTTCTAGTATTTTACATTGATGTAAATTGTAAGAAACTTACCGATTTTTATCTTCTTGCAGACGTCACACTTGTCCTCATAATCCAGACCAATACAACGACCATCTTCATCCAGAAGGACCCATTTATGCTCAGCCCAAGGACGAATACAACGCGACCAGAGGCGAAAGGTTTCCAGTGAAAATACCCGAAGATCATCTACACCCGGAAGGTAATTACTAATCACTCACTTAACACAAATTTCGTTAAGTTATTAAAAACTTATCATTTACAATTTCACAATTATGTTATATACACTTGATTGCACATGCATTCGTATCAGGAGACGAGTAAAATGACACTAGCGTACGATTCTCACCGGGCAATACAATGCATCGCTACCTACTGATAAGAAACCACAATTTCCTCTAAAATATAATTAAAATTGTCTGGTTAATTATACTAGACTAACAGATATTTATTCTTTTTGAACAAATTATCTATATCATTTGATATTACCCTTGAAAATTGAGTGTGTAAATTCTTATGATTTTTTTTTAAACAAGGGGACTTGTGTGACCTACCTCAACAGAGTTTCAATAGATTTTTTAACATGTTTTAAAGTAGGTACATACAATAATTTGCTTGTTTTATTTTACATTGATTCAATAGATGTAATGAATAGTGTGTTATAATTAAACAAAAATATTGATACGCTAGTATGTATAATAAGTGGGAGGGGGGTTAATCACCACCTTTGATCACCGCGACCATACAGATCAATTGCGTCCATGGATACGATACTGAAATATACAGTAAGATCGAAAAAAACGGCGTTAGCGCTGGCTATGAAATGAAGATCGCTGTCATTTTATATGTAAAATTATATGGCAAATGGTATTGATGTTCATTCCCAAGCCAACTGGGCCAAATTCATTATAAGCGATAGGTCCTGCAGTCCAGACATTCTGTATCCGCCGACCCGGTCGGTTGTTCAGAGTACCTACAGGTTTTTTTTTGGTATTCACAAACGCGCATATCTGATCTTTCATCAGGTTAGAACTCGAACAATAATCGAAATTGCCACATATCCGATATTTCTCCGCGGTAGTCCATTATTGCACAAATATTAATCAAAATTATTTAAAAATTCCTTGTGTGGGCGGCTGTTAGGATATTTTAATGTTTCTGATGTTGAAGTATTCAGATTTGGTAGAAGAATTTTCTAGAGATGAAGAAAAAGATAAGATATTTATGTAAGATTAAAACTAAAAGAATTTCGGACTTCCATTGTCCTTATTTATTTTGCTTACACAACGTTTCGGTCAGAAGTATTACTGACCGTTATCAAGTGTAAACTAAACTAAATCCTAACTATATACTGAGCTTATATACTAGAGCTGAGCATTCACCCGTGAATCAGTTGGGTGCATTCACGTATGTCGTTCTCCACTAAGTATACTGCATTATAGCGTTTTATGAGTGGTTGCCATATTGTTGAAATTTCCATACTTGGATTGCTAAAGATTTTATTGTTGTTAGAAATGAATACCGCCTCTTTAAATTTGCGTTTTTTCCAATGGGGTTCTTTGTGGACAATCCGGGACCATTTTATGTTGTGGTGCTTGAACCACACATGATCTGCAATGCCCGACTTTGCAGATCATTGTTTCAACTCTTTGCGTATGTTTTTCATGTTCGTCAAGACGTACATGTAAATACGTTTTGTCTCTCCAATATACGACTCACCGCACTCACAAGGTTTGTCTCTCCTATATACACTCACCGCACTCACAACAGTCTTTCTCTTGGTTTGAAGATTCCGGTTTTGTTTTTGTTAGGACACATCTGAGAGTAGTCCCACACTTAAAAACAGTTTTAATTGCATACTGCTTAGATATTCGCCTGATCTTTCCCGACGTTCCTTTCACATATGGAATCGTCGAGAGAGAAAGAGCATCCTTCTCAGGCTGGCGCACTAATGAGTCAGACTTACAATTGGATATAATATTGTCTAGGGATTTTTTAGAGTAACAATTCTGAAGTAAATCGGTTTTCGTATTACTTAGTTCAGAATTCAGAGATTCTTGGCCACTGCATATAGTGATTGCTCTATGAGATAGTGTTTTAACTATACCTTTTTTGGTTGCTTTAGAATGGTTCGAGTGAGAATTTAAATATTGTCCCGTATGTGTGGACTTTTATATACAGCAGTGGTAATGGATCCATCGCTTCTACTGACAAGAACATCCAGAAACGGTAGACAAAAAGTTTTTCTCTTTCTCAATCGTGAATCTGATTGAGTTATTTCGTGAATTAAAATGATTGAGAAAGGTATCCAACTGCCTATCTGTTTCATTCCAGATTATAAAGATATCATCAACATATCGAAGCCAGATTTTGGGTTTGACGACTGCGGTACTAATGGCGTTGGTCTCGAAACATTCTATATATGTATATACAGGAGCGGATACAGGAATTTATTTTATAGGGGGGTCCAAAATAAAAAGTAATGTAGAATATGCTTTTTAGGGCGCCATTTTTAATCCAAAAGTCTAATATTTAACACAATTTACAGGCTTTAGGGGAGGCCCGGGCCCCATGGCCCCCCCCCCTCTGTATCCGCCACTATGTATATATTCGCTATCACTGGAGAGAGAGAGAGGAACCCGATGACTGGAGAGATCGAGGATCGTTGTGTAAGCAAAATAAATAAAGACAATGGAAGTCGGTACAAAAAATTCAGAAAGTACAGGGTCTTTTTCAAATTTTTCGGTCAGGAAATTCATGAATAAAAAGGGCTCTGAAAGGAAGAGGGCTATGAAAATTTTTTTACAGTATCTTCCGTTTGACAAAAATAGGCCAGGATTGTGCAAACCACATCCTCGTCACTAATAATGGAGATAACATATGATTTCAACCAACATATGGGACACCCTGTACAAATGAATCCATTATCTTAGTATTTATCACTATACCAATGCAAAAAGTGTGTACCCGGTAGTTTTTACGGTGCAAGATAAACGGACTATATTCTACCTATTTAATCCTTTATAAAATGTAAACAAAATATGTTGGAATTAATTTTGTTCCTATCGGTACTGATTGTCGTTTTACTTAAGTGTGTTTTGATTTTTTCACCAGGTGAATTTGTGAAACGGCAGCCCGAGCCCTGGAAGCCTGGCGAAAGGGCCCCCGTAAAGAAGCCCCAAGACAACCTCCGTCCAGAAGGTAAGAAATAATATAAGAGATAGAGGGTGTGAATGATTTAGTGCGAAAACAGTCCAGCCATTAAAAAAAATACGAACAGTTTGAACGTCAACGATTTCTTGTAGACGTATCTGTTTTAAAAAGTAAAGTGTTCTCGAATAGTTCAATTTAAATATTTTAAATAGTTTTTTTCTTGATTCTTTATATTTTTTTGCTTCCGACGACGGAAAGAGAAAACTTTCCGAAACGTTAAGCATTTTTTTCTTTGTCAGGCAAATTTTTATAACTGTAAACACAACTTCTGACAAGCAGCGTCCGTTTAGGTTTAACGCCCAGAAGTGTTTACCAAAAATAACTATTTTATTTTGTAGATTTTTCTTGCAGTGCAGTGGCGAAAAACCCATAAAGGATTTTTTTGGATAGTCCAGCCATTGTTTTTTCACATAAATCGAGGATTTTTTTTAATATGGCGTTAATCCCTGCAAAGATCTACACAGTGGTCCGAATTGTATTTGGAAACTTCGGCAGCATATTCTGCAGATAAATGTATATCCTAAAATGCCTCGTTTCGGAGATACAGGGTGTAGAAATTTCATTTTTATTTCGATTTTTTCCAAATAATTCCCTAACCCTTAAGTACTCGCATGGCGCGAGGCGCCAAGTAAATTTTAAACTTAAATATATGTTATTGCTTTATACATACTCAAACGAGCCTTTGTGTATTCCTGGAGATAATATTTAAAAATACAAGAGACTTGAAAATTTAATATAATATTAATTTGTTTCAGGTATATTATAAACAATGTATCCTCTGGTGCTTCTACGGCCTGAGCTATATATGCCCTAGGTCAAAAAATAGGCACTAAAAACAAATATATTTTAACTGTTCACACTATATGTTCAAAATATATGTTCAGACATTCGAAAAATGTGTGTAACAAACGTTTTCAAAATGATTAATTTTGTTCTAGCCGCACTAGGTTTAAATTTTGTGATTAGGCATTTAGAAATAAAACTTATTCATATAAACCATTTATGTAAGCAACTTTTATTTAAGATAAACGTATTACATATTCATTCAATGCCTAAATATTCCTATTCCTATATTTATTTTAGTAGTTGTCTGGGAAGTTTTTGACATGGAAAAATGTCAATATGACTGCTACTTGTAGGAGGCGCCACCTACATATTTTTTAACTGGTTTGAAGAGTAATAACTTTTTGTCCGTACCTATATAAAACTACTGAGTGAAAAAGTCTATATTTGCGCCGTTTTTTACGTAAAAAACTCTTGGTAAAAATTAATTGAAAAAAAATCAGTACATTGACAAAAATGATTGACAACATAGTTATTATATATGTATATTACAAGATAGTTATTAGACTAAAATCATATACTTGAAATATTTTGGTGCCAAAGGTTCAACAGAAACTGTTTCATCATATTTTTGCTAAAAAAATTAGGATTAATTTAAAAAAAAGTTCCTAAATTTATAATTTCTGTCAATTAACTGTCTAATCAACATGCGTATTTTTTAATGACGTAAAAAATGGGAAAAATTTATATTTTTTCACTTAATAGTTTTATACAGGTACGGACGAAAAGTTATTACTCTTCAAACCAGTTAAAAATATGAAAGTGGCTCCTCCTACAAGGAGTCATATATTGACGTCGAAATCAAATTTCTCATGTTAACAAACTGACACCAATGTTTACCTCAATATCGACATTAGTGCAGAAAGTATTTTGATAAAATCGAAATAAAATGAAACTTATACGCTCTGTATCTCTGAAACGACAACAACGCATTTTTGAACATACATTTATACGAACTTTTTTATTTATTTTTATCTGCAGAATATGCTGCCGAAGTTTCCCGAATATAATTCGGACCTAAGATTCGGACCACCCCTGTATATGGAGTAGATATGGATAAACGAAACATATTTTTATGTCCCATTTTTTAAAATTTTTATTTACTTACCTCTTCCTCCTGTAATTATTAAATCAAAAATAATAAAGAACAGTTTCCCAGTTTCCCCGAAACTATTGTCCGCAAATATGTGATGTGCGTTAGCCATCAACAATAAAGCCGGTAACCAACATAAGGCACAGATTTCGACAATATTGCAATTGACAAGTGCGTCTACATGATGTGGCAAATATTCTGTGCCCAACAAGGCGTTTGCCACATCTTGTGGAACCCGCTTCAGCAATATTCGTATAAAAATATATGTTTAAGAGGGAATGAGCCTGTGTGACATTTCGGTATGGAAAAAATGATGAAAATGTAAAATGTCAACAATATTTTTTTCCAAAAAATTTACGAGTGTGTTTCTAGGTTCAAAATATACTCTCAATCAGTTCTGGAGAAAATTTTCTTGCATTTCTAGGTGATTTCGAAAAACGCCGACCTGAAGAATGGAAACCTGGAGACAGGGCTCCGGTAAGGAGACCGGAAGACAACTTGAGACCGGAAGGAGAGTTCCAAGTTCCGGAAAAGCCAGGGTATCGTCCTGCAGAGCGCCCTGTTCCGAAGAAACCTCAGGATAATCTACGTCCTGAAGGCGACTTCGAAAGGTAACAATAAGACTAAATTAAAAAATCTAGATCCTTATTTAAATTATAGAACACTCTGTCACATAATTTACAACCTTATATTTACATATAATTTATATATCTAAAATAGATATAATATACAGGGTGGCCCATTGTATTCCGGAAACTTCGGCAGCCTATTCTGCAAAGAGAAATAAGCAAAACACTTCGTATGAATGTACAAAATGCTTAGTTTCGGAGATACAGGATGTAGAAGTTTCATTTTTATTTCGATTTTTTCCTAATAATTTCTGAACTAATGTCGATATTTCGATGAAAATTGGTATCTGAGGGTTTTTTAATACGAGATTTGATTTCGATGTCAATATGGCCCGGCCCTACTTGTAGGGGGCGCCACCTACATTTGTTTTAACTGGGTTGAAGAGTAATAACTTTTTGTCTGTACCTGTATAAAACTACTGAGTGAAAAATGTACATTTTACGTAAAAAATTTCTCTTGGTAAAAATCGCTACGACCAACCGTTCTCAAGATATTTATGGTAATTTGCGCCGTTTAGATAAACAAGGTTTAACTTTTTAAACGTAGTTTATACCATTGGATTTTGATTATAATCAATGTTTAAAAAGTTAAACATTGTTTATCTGAACGGAGCAAATGGCCATTAGAATGAAAATAGTCAATACATGTCATTATTGACAAAAAATAAACATGAGAGTAGATTGTTATTTGACTTAAATGATAAATTTCGGACCTTTTTATTTTTTTAAACTAATCATAAGTTATGATAAAACAGTTTCTGTTAAACTTTTGACACATCTTCATAAATTTGAAATATTATTCAAATTTATAATATTTCAGTCTAATAACTATTTAATCAACATAGTATATATACCGGGTGCGTCTCAAAAGTGGCTCACCCCTATAACTTTTTTATTTTTTTTTAGGTAAAAAAACGAGATTTGGAATGTTAGTATATGACATAAATTAGGATTGATTGACGTAGTCAATTGTTTTCGGTCACTTCCTGTTTCACCAGAAATGACTACAACTTTTGATTTTTAAATGGCACCGTCGGTATTTTTTTACTTTATTCAATAGAAAATGGTATTCTGAATCGAATGACATATCATATGTCAACTTTTGACATATTCGCTCAAAAACAAATTGCATTTTAAATTTCAATCTAGAGTGCCATGGCTGTGTTAAAAACACTAATTTTTAATCAAGGAGCCTTGGAAAAATAGATTTGATCGTCTATTGTTTTTAATGTCTTGTCCTGGCTGGTTAAAAGATGCCCAAATCGTATTTTTAATCATATCTCATTTTTTTCAAATGGGACGAGGGTGGCTCATTAGCATATTTGGAAAAAGCATTTTTTTACGAATAATTTGATACCACACATTTGGTATTTTGAGTCAAATTTTCGTTATGAACCGCAGGTTACAATGTCAAATAAACCATATGCGAAAACGTCAAAAGTTGACATATGATATGTCATTCTATTCAGAGTGTCATTTTCTATCGAATAAAGTAAAAAAATACCGAGGGTGCCATTTAAAAATCAAAAGTTGTCATTTCTGGTGAAACCGGAAGTGACCGAAAACAATTGAATGTGTCAGTCAATTCAGATTTATGTCATATACTAACATACCAAATCTCGTTGTTTTATCTGAAAAAATAAAAAAGTTATAGGGGGTGAGCCACTTTTGAGACGCACCCGGTATACCAATGATGACAGGTATTAATAATTTCGATTCCAAATATCGAGAACCATTACTCGCAGCGATTTTTACCAAGAAACCTTTTTTTACGTAAAAAACGTCGTAAATGTATATTTTTTACATTACTTTTAAGACTTTTATAATACATTCGGTACGGACGAAAAGTTATTACTCTTCAAACCAGTTAAAAAAATATGTAGGTGGCGCCCTCTCCAAGTAAGCGTCATATTGACATCAAAATCAAATTTCTCATGTCAAATGAGAAATTATATTATTTTTCGTTATTTTCGGTTTTACACATGTTTTATTTTTTACCTCGAAAACTATCAGAGATAGGTATAGGTTAGTATAATATAAAAATTATGAGATATCAAAGTAGTTTTCAAAAATGTAATTATATACCGGGTATTCCATTTAAAATAACAAAGATGTTACCACTTTTATTATGAACACTGTGATGTTGAAAATAATTTAGAGAGCAGCTACCTTTATGCGAAAATCCAAATTTTCAAAAAAAATTCTATCGCCGGTTCTCCATAAACGTCTAACGTGCCATGGCCGTGAATCAGCCTGTATACCTTTAGGGGGAGAGGGGAAAAAATCTGACAAATAAAGCAAGATTGTCTTTTTTTCTCTAGACCGAAGCCGGAAGAATGGAAACCTGGTGACAGGGCCCCTGTCCGCAAACCAGCGGACAACCTACGACCGGAAGGCGACTTCGAACGACCCGAAAAGACCGGATACCGTCCAGCAGAACGACCGCAGCAGAAACGACCCGAGGACAACCTCCGCCCCGAAGGAGATTTCCAGAAACGCACCCCCGAAAAATTCGTGCCCGCCGAAAGACCCAAACCTAAAAAACCGGAAGACAACTTGAGACCGGAAGGCGAGTTTGAGAAACGAAAACCTGAAGAATGGAAGCCCGGCGATAGGGCTCCGGTGAAAAAGCCCCAGGATAACTTGAGGCCTGAAGGGGACTTTGAACTACCGGAACCGGAGAAATGGGTAAGAGTTTTTTTTTTAATAAAATATACTTGCTGTACAGGGTGTTCCAATATTCTGTGGACATGAAACTACTACGAATTTTTGGAATCAAAATAAGTTCATTAGACACAATTTACCTCTTTACAAAGTTCTTCGTGTGTCTCGTAGAGGACACCAAACTTTAAAAAATATATACATTTTTTAAGATATTTTAAGAACTGTTATTCCGATTTTAATTAAATTTGGGATGCCTGCGTTTTGCTAAGCGCTTTAATTACATTTCGGGGTTGGAACTAAGGTCCGACCGAGATCTCGGTCTCGGTTACAGTAATTCTCGGCTAAAAATCAGGCCGAGATCGGGTTCTCGTTCGCGGCATAAAAAGGCCGAGATTATCGGCCTCGGCCGAGACTGCTCACTACCGTCAAATTAGCTTATTTTTAATTTTCGCTTATCGCGAAAGAAAGCAAAAAAAAAGAAAGGATCGTAATATCTGATCCATATATGATCTGCTCGAATCACGAAGGGGATTTCTCGGACGGCTAAAGAATCGCCTTCGCATTTCTATGTGTAAACAGTGAACAAAATATTAGATGTTAGTGTCTTATTAATGTAAGTTTTATAAATTTATCAGACTTGTGCTTTTATATGAATTACTCGTATATTTTACTAATAAGTAATTTTTTTTTTGTTAATTATTCACCTCCATACAGAGTTCTGAAACCAGCAGCTTATACATTTCTAGTCTGCACCACCAACAAGCGTCTCTAACAAACAACTATTTAGAAGGAATATGATAAAACACACAAAAAAAAATGTTTTTCCGAAGCTGATTTACAAAAAATTATTCTTGTCACATCAAACTATGTAGGCTCATAAAATTTAGTATGCGCTAATAATCTCGTTGGCAAAAATATGGAATATTATGTTAGTATTCAATTTTTCAAATTCAAAAAAATCAATTGTCGGTGTAGCTGGAAAATTTTCTATTGAAATTTATATAGGGGTGGAGGTAGTTTTCACCCTTCCCGTACATTTTCTTGTTTTTTTATCGGTTCTTAAAATATCTTAAAAAATGTGTTTATTTTTTTAAAGTTTGAAGCCCTCTAACGGACAAACAATGTACTTTTGTATAAAGGTAAATTGTGTCCAATGAACTTATTTTGATTCCAAAATTACGTAGTGGTTTTATGTCCAAGGAATATTGGGACACCCTGTATACAGTATGTCCCCTGATTGTCATTACAAGAGAAAAAACTTTTTTATTATTGACAAGTAGAATGTAGAATGTTTAGGAGGGGAGTTAGTCACCGCGACCTTACAGATCTATTGTGTTTTCCCCTTTCTTGAGTTATAACGAGTTATAACTCATCATACAGTCTCAAGGCTTTAACAAAAGCCAGTATCTGAGACGGTTCCACAGAGGCCAGCTCTCCGTCCTTGACATCAGCCGTACCAAAGTTCATGGCACGTATGGTCGTCGTCTCGGCGCACTCAGTGATGAGGTGTTCTGGTGTTTCCCCAAATTCCCCACAGAATCTGCATTCGCCGTTGTTCCTCAACTTCAGCCTACTGAGGTGTTCGTTGAGGAGACAGTGTCCTGTTAGAAACCCCGTGACAATCCGAAGATTGTTTTTACTTAAATCAAGGAAAACCTTTGATTTTTCTCGGTCGTAGATTCTGAGGAACTTTTTCGAGTGTCTTAGACCGTTGGAGGATACCCATTCCAAGTTGCGGTTGGAGTCTTCCAGATTCTTCAGTTCCGCTTTCAGTTGGTTTCCGCTTGGAAAACAGAACGGTTCTGGTCCATTTAGTGGAGTGTTCGCTCCTTTCCTAGCTAGATCATTTGCTTTTTCATTGCCTTCTATCCCTTGGTGAGCAGGCACCCAGACTAGGAGGACTTTATTTTCTTTGCCCAACTTGTTGTGCTTCTCTAGGCATTCTTTGACCAACATCGAATTGATGGTTACTGACTTGATCGCGTTTAGTGCTGCTTGACTATCGGATAGGATGTCAATTTCCTGTTTTCGATAGTTCCTATCTAAGATAAATTGTACACATCTTTCGATAGCGTAAATTTCTGCCTGAAGGATACTGGGGTAGGTGCCCATTAGTTCGGAGTATTCGGTTTTCGGTCCAAATACTCCTATCCCTGTCCCTGCTTTGGTTTTGGAAGCATCAGTATACCACGTTATGGTATGGTCTTTTATATGCCGAGTAAGCGTTTCTTCCTTCCAATCCTTTTTATTACTCAATACTACAGTGAGGTGTTTCTCAAAGTTGTAAATTCTTGGTATGTCATCCACTGGGAGTTGGAGAAGTGGAATTTTCTTTTTGAGGGTGTTCCAATCCCCTGACCTAAAAATTCTCCCAGTACTGTTTCCATCAATGACCATTCTAATCATTGTCGCATTGGCATAACTACCGACGACAATGTGCAGTGGTGTTAGGTCTAAAATGACCTCCATTGCTGCTGTTCGACATGTTCTCATGGCACCTGTGATACAGATACATGCCAGTCTCTGTACTTTGCACAGGTTTTGCCTTGCTGTACGTTGCTCTAGTTTTGTATACCAAGCAACTGCTCCATATGTAATCATGGGTCTTACTATCATGGTATACATCCAGCGCAAAATTTTAGGGGCACAACCCCACCTATTTCCCGCCAGTCTTCTGCATATCATGAGAGCCTTTGTGGCTTTACTGGTAATGTTCTTAATATGCCTGTTCCAGAGAAGTTTACTATCCAGGGTTATTCCTAGATATTTCACTTTCCGTGATGGCAGTATTTCCTTTCCATCTAGATGGATTCTTTTCAAGTTTTTCAAACTTCGCTTTCTGGTGAATGGCACTACCGCGGTGTTATCTGAGTTGATACTCAGCCCGACAGTCCTGCACCATCTCTCAGTGATGCGGAGTCCTCTTTGGATAATATCACACAGGGTGCCTTCATGTCCCCCCCCCCTGCAATCATGACTATATCATCTGCATACCCTATGCAGTGTATTCCCGCTAGAGTTAATTCTTCCAGTAGTTCATCCACTACCAAGCTCTACATTAGTTAGTAATTATTGACATTTACTTGAAAAAAATGCAAGCTTCATAAAAAATTTTGCTTGCTCTAAAATTGTTAATCCCGTTTATACTTTTCCAAATTGCCATACAGTTTCAGAGAAAATTAAAGAAAACGTGAAATTATGGTTGATTTTTTTTCCTAAGACTAAAGAAGTCCTAAAAATCAAAACGCGTTTCTATGGTAATATAATTTCGTTCTTATTCTCTGATAGCTTTTTATTCATAGAATTTTAATTAACGTCATATTTTTTGCTCGTTTAAAAATGTTAAAGAAGTACAAAACTCATTTAGGTTGATGCTACGAAAAGGGTGATAGATAATAGTTATCGGAAAATTGATACTTTAAAAGCAAAAAATATTTTATTCAAAATTAGTAATAACCATCTATCAAAGAATAAAATCTAAATTATATTACTATAGAAACGACTTTCAATTTTTAGGACATTTTTTTTTTAAGTAAAAGTTAACCAGAATTTCATGTTGTTTCTAATTTTCTTTAAAACGGTATGAAAATTTGGAAAAGTATAAACGTAAAGTAAAAAATACACCTCGATAGAACCAAAATTTACAGACATATTGTATTTCGAAATTTATATTTTCCTATTTATAGTCCTCATTAGTTAATAATGGTATTACCATTACAACTCTGTTTACGATACAAATAAATTATCGACTTTCGGCTACTTTAGATTTTTTCCATATTATTAACGACGCCAACGCAACGGCTCAAATAAATATTTAATTTAAACCGGCTCAATATCACGAAATTAACTATAACTTTCTTATTTCTCAGACTCCAGCAGAAAGACCCAAACAAAAGCGCCCCGAAGACAATTTAAGACCTGAGGGTGAGTTTGACAGACCCCAGAAACCCGGATATCAACCTGCTGAAAGACCGGTTGTCAAAAAGCCCCAGGACAACTTGAAGCCTGAAGGTGAATTTGTGAAGAGGACTGTGGAAGATTATCGTGTGATACGAGGTGACAGAGCTCAAATAGTTCGCCATGAAGATAACATCACTCTAGAAGGAGAATTCACTGGTAAGCAGTACGCAAAAGAATATTATATTGGGTGTTTCTTAAATAAGTATAAGTATTTTAAGGGGTAGTTTATGTGGAAAAAGGAAGCATATTTTCTATTTGCCATTCTTAAAGTAAAATAAAAAAAACGAGATGGCGCATCCCACTCGCCTCGGTTGATTATACCGAAATAGAAAGATATAGAAACAAAATATTTTATGGGTGTATGTGGGGACGCAATGTGGTGCACAATTTAAAATTATATTGAAATATATAGGCTGTTTAAGAACTAAGATACATACCAAAGTTATATTTTTTCTAACTGAACACCCGGTATTTTATTTCGTTTTGGATTGTTGAGCCTAAAAAAGGCATTTCTTATAAGGGTTAAATATGTTTAAAATCTTTGGTTTTTGAGATATTTAAATATATTAAAATATGGCATGCTACAATAGAATGGATTACAATTAATTTTTAACTCTATGATTACAATCTGTGTATATTTAAATATCTTTAAATATCTCAAAAACCAAAGCTTGTAAAAATATTTAACCTTTATAATAAATTTCTTACTTTGTATCCAAGGATCTAAAAATGAAATAAAATACCGGGTGTTCCATAAGAAAAAATATAACTTTGGTGTGGATCTTAGTTCTGACATAACCTGTACATTTCAAAATAATTTTAAATTATGCCACATTTCCTTCCCACATATACCCATAAAATATTCTGTTTCTACATCTTTCCATTTTCGTATAATCAACCAAGGCGAATGAGGTGCGCCACCCTGTATAACTTTGAAAATTAAAAAAAATTATGTTCACATTTTGAGAACCTCCGGCATCAACCGGCATTCAGCTGGCTCTCAGCTTATTCGACGCTCTGTGTTGCCACATGAAGGGATTATACACTTAATTTGGTATTATCTGCATGCAATTGGTTGTATCTGCAATAATTATTGTTAAGACTTATTTTTTAGTTTAGTTAAAAATAACTGTCAATATATTAATGTGATGACAAAATATGATAGAAGGAAATCTCAGAAGAATGAGTCTGTGGTACTATGTTTTTTTAATTTCCTGGAAAGAAAAACTTCCAAGAAAAAATTCTAGAATAGAAACATGGGTGTTTCTGCGATCGAAATATATTACCAGTTAAAATACTTGCACTTATTTAAGAGACACTTTGTATACATTATGGTATAGGATTTACTAACAGTTTTGTATTTTCTCCAGACATTACCACATCCAAGGTCGATTTTACCGGTGAATTAGTGCCCAGGCAAAGTCCGGTGCGAAGGAACACCTTTACCAAGGTTGAAGGTGAATTTATATCCGATACCACTTCCAAAACCGATTTTGTTGACTACACTACCTCTGTCGAAAGGACGACAATTCAAAAACGGCATGACAATCTTACTGTCGAAGGCGACATGACTTTCGATACTTCCACTACTGTCGAATTCACAGAAAAGACACCACAAGTAGATAGAAGACGACGAACTTGGACTAAGGACGACGTAGAGAAATTTTATTCCACCCACCAAACCGAAACAACGACTACAAATCAAGAAATTTATAAAACATATGATACAACAGATATTAGAGAGAACGTGATTATTCATCGCGACAATTTGAGACCGGAAGGACCGTTCCAAGGTACTCCCAAGTCCAGGGAAGATTACGTTCCCAAACATGTAGAGCGCCCGACTCCTAGAAAACCACTGGACAACTTGAGGCCTGAAGGTGAGTTCGAAAAACGTACTCCGGAGAAGTTTGTACCGGCCGAAAGACCAAAACAGAAGAGACCTGAAGATAATTTGAGACCTGAAGGTGACTTTGACCGACCACAGAAACCTAAATATAAACCTGCTGAACGACCTACTCCTAAAAAGCCTGAAGACAATCTCAGACCGGAGGGTGACTTTGAGAAACGTACACCGGAGAAATTTGTGCCCGCCGAAAGACCGAAGCAAAAGAGGCCTGATGATAATCTAAGACCCGAAGGTGACTTTGAACGTCCCGAAAGACCTGAATATCGACCTGGAGATAGACCTAAGCCAATTAGGCATTATGACAATTTACGGCCTGAAGGTGACTTTGAGGTACCTGAGAAACCAAGGTATATTCCTGCCGAAAGACCCACTCAGAAAAGGCCTGAGGATAATCTGAGACCTGAGGGAGAGTTCGAAAAACGTACACCCGAAAAATTCGTGCCTGCTGAGAGACCTAGGCAGAAAAGACCTGAAGATAATCTTAGAACGGAAGGAGATTTTGAACGACCGGAAAGACCTAAATATCAACCTGCTGAAAGGCCAAAACAAAAAAGACCCGAAGATAACCTACGGCCCGAAGGTGATTTTGATAGACCCGATAGACCAGAATACAGACCAGCTGATAGACCTAAACCAGTTCGGCATTATGACAACTTACGTCCGGAAGGAGAGTTTGAAGTTCCAGAAAAGCCTAAGTACGTACCGGGGGAAAGACCTGTGCCTAAAAAACCGGAGGATAATCTTAGACCCGAGGGAGACTTTCAAAAACGTACTCCTGAAAAATTCATTCCTGCTGAAAGACCTAAACAGAAAAGACCTGAGGATAATCTTAGACCTGAGGGAGATTTTGAACGACCCACTCCTTCTAAAATTGGACCAGCCGAAAGGAGAACTCCCATTAAACATGATGATAACCTCAGACCAGAAGGAGACTTCGAACGTCCAGAGAAACCTAGATATCGGCCAGCTGAAAGACCTGTACCTAAGAAACCAGAGGATAACCTTAGACCAGAGGGTGATTTTGAAAAGCGTACTCAAGACAAATTCGTGCCTGCTGAAAGGCCTAAACAAAAGAGACCTGAAGACAACCTCAGACCTGAAGGCGAGTTTGAAAGACCTACACCTTCTAAGATTGGTCCGGCTGAGAGAAGAACCCCTATAAAACATGACGATAACCTCAGACCTGAAGGAGACTTTGAGCGTCCAGAAAAACCGAGATACCAACCTGCCGAAAGACCTGTTCCTAAAAAACCTGAGGATAATCTTAGACCTGAGGGCGACTTTGAAAAACGAACGCCTGAGAAATTCGTTCCTGCCGAGAGACCTAAACAAAAGAGACCCGAAGACAACCTCAGACCTGAAGGCGAGTTTGAACGACCTACACCTTCTAAGATCGGTCCGGCTGAGAGAAGAACTCCTATAAAACATGATGATAATCTCAGACCTGAGGGAGACTTTGAACGTCCAGAAAAACCGAGATACCAACCTGCCGAAAGACCTGTTCCTAAAAGACCAGGGGATAATCTTAGACCTGAAGGCGAATTTGAGAAACGAACACCTGAGAAATTTGTTCCCGCCGAGAGACCTAAACAAAAGAGACCTGAAGATAACCTCAGGCCTGAGGGAGATTTTGAACGACCTGAAAGACCTGAATATCAACCAGCTGAAAGACCGAAACAGAAACGACCTGAGGACAATCTGAGACCCGAGGGTGAATTCGAGAGACCCACGCCTAGCAAAATCGGACCAGCAGAGAAAAGAACTCCTATCAGACATGACGATAACCTCAGACCTGAAGGGGACTTCGAACGTCCCGAGAAACCTAAATACCAATCAGCAGAGAGACCCGTTCCTAAGAAACCTGAGGATAACCTCAGGCCTGAAGGAGAATTTGAGAAACGTACCCCTGAAAAGTTCGTACCAGCTGAAAGGCCTAAACAAAAAAGACCTGAAGATAATCTATATCCTGAAGGTACTTTTGAAAGACCAGATAGACCAGAGTTTAGACCTGCTGATAGACCAAAACCAGTTAGACACGATGATAACTTACGACCAGAAGGCGACTTTGAACGCCCAGAGAAACCTAAATACCGGTCAGCTGATAGACCAGCCCCGGTCAAACCTTCTGATAACCTTAAACCTGAGGGCGAGTTTGAGAAACGCACTCCAGAGAAATTCGTACCTGCAGAAAGACCGAAACAGAAACGACCTGAGGATAATCTTAGACCCGAAGGTGATTTTGAAAGACCTTCTCCAACTCACGTGGGTCCTGCTGAGCGGAGATCTCCTATTAAACACGGCGACAATCTTAGGCCGGAGGGTGACTTTGAAAGACCTGAAAAACCAAGGTATCAACCCGCTGACAGACCTGTACCTAAAAAACCAGAAGATAATCTTAGACCAGAGGGCGAATTCGAAAAACGTACTCCGGAGAAGTTTATACCGGCCGAGAGACCGAAACAGATAAGACCGGGAGATAATCTAAGACCGGAAGGAGATTTCGAACGGCCCGAGAGGCCTGAATATCAACCTGCGGAAAGACCTAAGCAAAAACGACCTGAGGACAACTTGTACCCTGAAGGCGAATTTGAGAGACCCTCTCCGACTAAAGTTGGTCCTGCTGAAAGACGATCTCCCATCAAACACGATGACAATCTTAGACCTGAAGGTGACTTTGACCGTCCAGATAAAGCTAAATATCAGCCGGCTGAAAGGCCTACTCCAATCAAACCTTCGGATAACCTTAAACCAGAGGGAGAATTCCAGAAAAAGACCCCGGAAAAGTTTGTTCCGGCTGAGAGGCCTAAACAAATGAGACCTGAAGATAATCTAAGACCAGAGGGCGATTTCGATGTTCCTGATAGACCCGAATACATTCCTGCTGAAAGACCTAAGCCTATCAGACATGGCGATAACCTCAGACCGGAAGGAGAGTTTGATCGTCCTCAGAAACAACAATATAAGCCTGCTGATCGTCCTACACCTGTCAAACCTTCGGATAATCTTCGTCCTGAAGGAGAATTTGAGAAACGTACCCCAGAGAAGTTTGTGCCGGCTGAAAGGCCTAAACAAAAGAGACCTGAGGATAACCTCAGACCTGAAGGTGATTTCGAACGACCTACACCAACGTCTATGGGCCCAGCTGAAAGAAGAACGCCTATTAAACATGATGACAATCTTAGACCTGAAGGTGATTTTGATCGTCCAGATAGGCCTAAGTATCAGCCTGCTGAAAGACCTACTCCAGTCAAACCTTCAGATAACCTCAAACCCGAGGGAGAATTCGAAAAACGAACACCAGAGAAGTTTGTACCTGCTGAGAGACCGCAACAAAAAAGACCCGAGGATAACTTGAGACCCGAAGGCAAATTTGAACGTCCTACACCTTCGAAAATTGGACCAGCAGAAAAAAGGACTCCGATCAAACATGATGATAATCTTAGACCAGAAGGTAATTTTGAACGACCGGAAAAACCTAAATACCAACCGGCAGAAAGGCCCGTTCCTAAGAAACCTGAAGACAATCTTAGGCCAGAGGGTGAATTTGAAAAACGTACGCCAGAAAAATTCGTACCAGCTGAAAAACCTAAACAGAAACGACCAGAAGATAATCTAAAACCGGAAGGAGAGTTTGAAAGGCCGGAAATAAAAGAAATCGGGCCCGCTGAAATTCGCAAACCTATTAAACACGACGACAACCTGAAACCTGAAGGAGATATGCTGATCAACAGACGGGATGACTACAATGTTGTACGCGGTGAAAGAGTTGAAATAGTAAAACATGAAGATAATCTTAAGACTGAAGGCAAATTCGTCGATACAAGAACTAGGGATGATTACCGTGTTGTAAAAGGCGAAAGGTCTGAAGTGGTTAAACATGAGGATAATCTTCGTATGGAGGGCGAATTCATCGACAGGAGAACCAGAGATGATTTCTGTGTAGTCAAAGGAGAACGATCTCAAGTCGTTAAACACGAAGACAATTTACGCATGGAAGGTGAATTTATTGATAACAGGTCTCGAGATGACTACAGGACAGTAAAAGGAGAACGCGCCGAAGTAATAATACGCCAAGATAACCTTAGAATGGAAGGAGAATTTAACGAATACCGTAAACGTGATGAATTTACTACACGTACTGGAAAAACCGAGGTTATTCGTCACGAGGACAACTTAAAACTCGAGGGTGACTTCGAACGCCCGACTCCCACGAAAATTGGACCTGGTGAAAGACGAAGACCGATCAAACATGACGATAACTTACATCCGGAAGGCGATTTTAATAGACCGGACAAACCTAAATACCACCCAGGTGAAAGGCCCACTCCTAAAAAGCCTCAAGACAATTTGAGACCCGAAGGAGAATTTGAACGACCCACCCCGTCAAAAATTGGTCCTGGTGAACGTAGATCTCCTATCAAACACAGTGACAATCTTCGGCCAGAAGGAGATTTTGAAAGACCATCTAAACCCGGATACCAACCCGCCGAAAGGCCTACTCCCAAGAAGCCTCAAGATAATTTACATCCCGAAGGAGAATTTGAAAGGCCTACACCTTCAAGAATAGGTCCTGGTGAACGTAGATCTCCTATCAAACACAGTGACAATCTTCGGCCAGAAGGAGATTTTGAAAGACCATCTAAACCCGGATACCAACCCGCCGAAAGGCCTACTCCCAAGAAGCCTCAAGATAATTTACATCCCGAAGGAGAATTTGAAAGGCCTACTCCTTCAAGAATAGGTCCTGGGGAACGTAGGTCTCCCATTAGGCATCACGATAACCTTCATCCAGAAGGTGACTTTGATCGTCCACAAAAACCAGGGTACCAACCCACGGAGAGACCAACTCCTAAGAAACCTCACGATAATCTGCGACCTGAGGGAGATTTTGAAAAACGTACACCATCTAAGATCGGTCCAGGAGAACGTAGAACTCCAATTCGTCATTCCGATAACTTAAGACCGGAGGGTGATTTTGACAGACCTCAAAAACCGGGTTATCAGCCTGGTGAAAGGCCTACCCCTAGAAGGCCACAAGATAACCTACGACCTGAGGGAGCTTTTGAGACACCGGAAAAACCCAAATATGGTCCTGGCGAACGTGCGGATATCGTAAGACATCCGGATAATCTGAAGCCCGAAGGTGAATTTATCGGTACACCTAAAAGCAAAGAAGATTTTAAACCTACTAGAGGCGAAAGAGCTCCTGTTAAGAAACCTCAGGATAATTTGAAGATGACTGGAGAATTCCAGGACACTACCGTAGCCAAATCTCAATATACTGTAGTAAGAGGTGAGAGAGCTGAAGTAAAGAAACACGAGGATCATCTTAAAGTGGGTAGTGGAAAAATGGAAACGGTTACGACTTCAAAAGAAACTTTTGAAACAACTCCTAGAAAGACACCGGAAAGGAACGTGGTAGATAAGAGAAGACACATGGAGTCACATATCAGTTTGGGAGATGATAAAACGTCCATGCAAACTACCAATCAAGTCAATTATAACACTTACATACGAAGAGTGGACAAAAAAGCTGTCAATGTTGAAAATGTTGATAAACGAGTCACTAATGTTGTTAATAAGAAGCTCGTCGAAAATGTCGATAGGCACGTAGTAGATAGTAAGGTAGTTAATAACGTTGAAAATGTTGACAAAAGAGTTGTTAATAAAACTATCGTTTCAAATGGTAGTGTAGTGGATGGCGGTAAAAGAGAAGTTAATGTATCTGCAGATACAAAAACTTTAGCAGATGGAACTATCGTTAAAGTCACTCGTACGGTAACCAAAAATACCGGACAAGCTGTCAACGAAATACGTAAATCCTCTTCCCAAACTCACGTACAACAATCTCAATCACACTCGCACGCCGAAAACAGGAATGTTGTGAAGCAAAACAACATAATTCACTCTTCCAGCCAGACCAACGTTTCTAACCAACAGGCCTCGCACCACAGGAAGAGCACCATTAGTTCCGAAGAGATAAACAATCAAATATTACATCGCAAAGGCCTGCATACTTCTACCGAAGCTTTGCACGCTACGAGCTCTTCGGCTTTGGATATGAGGAAATCCGTCTGCAATATCCACGATCAAGGGCGTACCACTGTGAATACTGAACGGCACAGTTTGAGTTCGATGCACAGGTCTCAGCAGGAAGCGGCTAGTAATGCTAATAGAAGGAGCCAACAAATTACGTCTTATCAGACTGTAGAACGACCACAGAAGATCGTTCGTAAAGATAACTTATCGGTAGGTGGTCACTTTTATGGACAGTCTGAAGCCAAGTCTTACGGAGAATTCACAAAGCAGCAAAACATCCAAAGAGTAGAACGTGTAACTAGACGCTCAAATGTCTCCAATATCACGCTAGGTGACACTAACGTGCACGTAGTCACTTCGTACAAAAAAGAGTACGCACCTAGGAACGTTGGGCCTTGTCCAGCCGGTTTGGTAGACGCACCCAAGGGACCATTTAAACATACCAGAGACACTAAGTCTCATAAGTTTTATATGCCTGTTGTTACTAACTAATCTATTTTTGTTCTCATTTCCATTTTTTTATCTAAATTATTATTACTGTTTACTATTAGACTGTTATTAACATACTCTAGTATTGTGATAAATTTTGTTGTTGTTAATCCTATAATTATAGTAATTAAATTTTCTAATATTGTTTATTATATATTATATAATTATATAAACCTTTTTAGGAAAAAGCCATAATAAGTGCTTACGGTATCTGGGTTTTATACGAATTAATTTTTCTATTATCTACATATTTATATATTTTGCTTGCCAAGCTTTTATAAAGTGTAAAACCCAATAAAATATATTTTTTATGATTTCGTTTTTTAGTTATTTATTTATTTCATTTCCTGTCTATGATCATGTATTTTCTTTTATCGATACTTTATTCTTCCAAGGTACTTTTATATTGATAAAAGTGAACTTTTGGGGTACTATTGATACACACTCAAATGTAAACACCTTCAAATAAGGAAACTTATCATGTGCGGTGTATAAGGATTTGTAAATAAGTAAATAATGTAATAAATCATAATTTTGTAAAACCATCTGTTTTATTTATTGGAATTATCTTGAAATATGTAGGTACCTATGTAACTAATTTGTTTTCTAAATTTTTGTAATATTTCAATTTATTTAAAAAAAAATTGATTTTATTATGGTAAGAAATGAAATTGAAGTTGGTTTCTGAAGTTGGGGTTGGTACTCAAATTTGATAGGGGTTTAATAGAGATAAAGAGATACAGTATGTACAGATATTTGAGTTAGATGCTTTAAAACACTCTAAAAGAAATTTATATATATAATAGCCTTGTGTATATAAACAAGGATAATAGCAAATAATAATACAATAGTGATAAATTTAATAGTAAATAGTAGAAGGATAGTAGTTTTAAAGTAAATAATAAATGGTATTAAATTAATAAACTACTTATTAATGAGTAATATTATAGAGGATGAATTAACAGGAAACAAAAAGTTCTTATGAACATAAGCCCTAAAATGCTTTCTAAAGAAGTTAGAACACTCGAAAGGGTAAATAAAAATAATATACCGTATGATCGAATAAAAATGGCTATTAAATGAAGATCGCTGTCATTTTATATGTCACATTATATGAGAACTGCCATCGATCGTCATTTCCAAGCCAACTGAACGCCGTTTTTTTTCGATCATACGGTATTTTGTTTATTTTTAACAAGAGTGGTAAACCGTTTTTCTTGAAATTTGATACTCTTACACACATTTAAATGCCAAAGCGAATGGGGATAATTTAAAATTCCGTAACAGAGCCTTGAAAGGGTACTTTCTATTATAGCAGAGAGCATTAGTGGTGGTACGTTTTTATCCTTACAGATAAAGTAATTTAAACACATGACATATAAAAAGCTAGGATTTTTTTACGTAAGAAAGGTACTCATCGTTTATTTGGATAAGGTGGACGGTTTTCAAGATATTTGCGTTTAAAGGTTACGATGCGTCGATTTAAGTATTAGCGAAATGATGAGATTAATTTATTTATAATTTCTTAAGATTTCATCATTTTAGAGCATATGTTCATGAGCATATGTTCATGCATAGGAACTTTTGTTTTATTTTTATCTGTAGAATCACCCACCAAAGTTAGATACACTATTTTTTGATACTCTGTATATAAAAAGTTAGAACTTTACATAGAATCTGAAAATAAAATAAAAACTAGAATGATACACTCTAGTGAGACATTAAAAAACATATAATGTCATATCCGACACATTTTTTTCAAAAATAATTTTAAATTGCGTATCATAAACATTCCCTAAAACTTTTCCATTTAACATTTTTTGTAATTTTGAAATCAAATGAGGCAATGCACTTTACTGTATCGTTGACCCATCCCGTACAGTACAGGGTAATGGGAAATTAAGATAACTTTCGTTGCACATCATAATACGACCACCAGCAAACTCCATAAGACGACGCATGGTGTCATTGATGACGTGCAACGAAAGTTGTTTTAATTCCCAAAATTTCGTTTATAAAATGTTATATTATACTCAGTCGATATGCTATTCTAAAAATACTATCGTGTCATAATATGTAACAAGTGGTTTTTGTAATATGACTATTTTTGCAATAAACTATTTGAATTTGAATTATCACACCTTTACATTTAATGACAGATTGTCGCTCTAGACAATGTAACATATTTCAATAAATTCAAAACGTAAATTTAGGAATATTATGAATATACACGTTCTCATTTTACACACAAGCATAATATTATTTCTAAAATGTGCGTTTTCGCAAATTATAGCAGTAGAAAATGATAAAGAGAGGTAAGATCTAATAATAATAGTGTGTAATAAACTGAAACTTAATTTAAGTGACGAAGAAAGAAGTGATGCTTCAGAAGAATCAGAGTCCCTTCACGAAAGCTATAGACCGCATCACATGAAGCATTCAAAAATTATGAACGTCAAAGGGCACAATATCAAACGTAGGGAATATGCAGAGACTGTTCAAAAAAACTGTGCTATAATGTATAAAAACGGAGATCCTGTTGGGATATTACAAGTATGTAAATAAAATCGAATCAGAAATTCATTAGCATGTAGAATGTAGAATGTTTTAGGAGGGGGGTGAACCATCGCGACCTTACAGATCTATTAGGTATGTGTGTATGTATTGTACCCTTTCATGAGTTATAACTCATTATACCCAGGGCTTTGACAAAAGTGAGTATCTGAGACGACTCCACAGAGACTAGCTCTCTATCTTCGACATCACCCGTACCCAAAGTTATGCATGGCACAACAAGTACCCAAGTTTATGGTTGTCGTCTCGGCGCACTCAGTGATAAGTTGTTCTGGTGTTTACCCATTTTCTACACAGAATCTGCATTCGCCGTTGTTTCACAGCTTCAATCTACTGAGGGTTCGTATGGGAAACAGTGTTCTGTAAGAAAACCCGTGACAATCCGAAGATTGTTTTTACTTAAATCAAGAAAAATCTTTGATTTTTCTCGGTCGTAAGTTCTGTAGGACTTTTTCGAGTGTCTTAGATCATTGAAGGACTGCCATTTTAGGTTATAGCAGGAGTCTTCCAGGTTCTTCAGTTCCGCTTTAAGTTGGTTTCCACTTGGAAAGCAGAACGGTTCTGGTCCAGTTAGTGGAGTGTTCGCTCTTTTTCTAGCTAGATCGTTTGCTTTTTTATTGTATTCTATCCTTTGGTGATCGGGCACCTAAAGTAGGAGGACTTTATTTTCTTTGCCGATCATCCAGCTTCTCTAGGCATTCTTTGGCCAATTTGAAATTGATGGTTACTTAATTGATCGCTTTTAGTGCTGCTTGACTGTTGGATAAGATGGCTATTTCTTGTTTTCGATAATTTCTATCTAAGACGAATTGTACGCGTCTTTCGATAGCGTAGATTAAGATAAGGATGCTGGGATAGGTTCGGAGTATTTAGTTTTCGGCCTAAATATCCTTGTCCTGATTTTGGAAGCATCAGTATACCACGTTATGGTATGGTCTTTTACATGTTGAAATGTTTCTCTTTTCCAGTCCTTTTTATTGATGAATACTACAGTGAGGTGTTTCTCAATGTTGTAAATTCTTGGTGTATCATCCAATGGGAGTTGGAAGAGTGGAGTACTTTCATGTTGAGGGTGTTCCAAGCCCCTGACCTATTTAATAGCATACATATTACTATATTTAGAAGTAGGCAAACAAATATTTAAAGAATACATAGTAATATCGTATGGTTGATTTTTTTGTTTCGTGGTCAAAATATAAAGTTATTAAGCCTGGAATAACAGCTCTTTTTCTATAGCCTTACGAGGACAGTTACAAACTTTTACCCATCGATGCAGAAGAAGAACTAGCCGTAGATATAAACCCCATAATGTCAAAACGACAAGCCTTTGATGCTGAAGTTTCCAATTTTGAAGAAGACACCAAAGCAAAAGCGTCCAACGACAGATACCCTTATATCTTCGCCAAGTTTAAAGTCGATAGCAAGATGGACAAGGCCCAAGAAAGCCGGCCCAGGCGTGACTTGAAACCTGTTAATTTGATGAACGAGAAGCACCTGAATTCCTTAAACAGTGCTCTATCGAAAATCGAAGAAAATAGTCAGCTGTCAGCAGAAGACGACTTGCAAAACATACTGAACGAAATGGGACTTATTGACGATGAGAATCGCTTGGATAAACGTGAGCTTGAAGAAGAAAAAGATGGAGCTGTGGAAAGTGCAAACGAGGTAATTTTTAGGCTTTCGTAATTTACAGAGAACACAACACACAGCTCGCTTGCAATATATATGACAGTGACAGTTGATGTCATTTTGTATCTGTCGAAATATATTTTCTCTCACTCGACAGATTACATAATAATTAAATAAAAAAAATCATCATCATCAACATTTTCAGCTTCTTCAACCATTTCCAATTACGGTGTAGCCTCCCTCACATACAGAGTGGCGCCTCTCATATGCCGCGGAGGCTCCAAGGAGAACGACAGTTTGTATTGAAATGAAATTTTGTGACCATATCTCCGGTTTATTTAATCACTTTTTAAAAATATAGAGAGTTCTACAGGGTGTCCCCAAAAAAAGTTACATATCAAAGTTGTGTTTTTTGTAATAAAACACCCTATATATAATTGTTTTCGGATTCTGGGAGAAAAATAAAGGTGAGTTTTATAAGAGAAGTATATGACTAAAATGTAAGGTTTTTGACGTATTTTACATTTTCTAGAAATAAAGAACAATTTTTAAATTACAATAAAAGCTACCTAAATTGGAATTTACCCGGTATAGCCTAATATATAGTTAAATTAACTATTGTACTTTAAATCAAATTAAAACTTGATCCAAAAAGTTATACAGGGTGAGACAAACTTAATACTGAACATTGGTCACCTTTAAAAGCATGTTACTCTCTTATTTTAAATGAAACACCCAGTATATTATTCCGATATTCAATGGAGAATTCATGTCTCTTCAAAGTACTATTAAGGTTGCCTACCCCTCAAACAAAGATTTTCCTAGATATTTTCATTTACATGATTTGATCTGGGTAGATATTTATTATTTGATAAAATCTAGGTGGCTGTGATATGTCTGACGTTACTTCAACTAAGCTGTCTAATTAGTCCGACTTTAACAACTAGTTATCATTTTGTGTCAATTAAAACAAAAAAAATTCTCAGAAATTTGCCGAAAATGCAAACTTATCCTACATCAGAAAGAATTAATTGATATGATTCTATTCAGAGTCTAATTAATAGAATACCTAAATGCTCCTTATTTTACCTAGTCTGTTACGGGAGTTTTTACGGGGATATGTTAAAGACAGTGTTTACAAAACTCGGCCAACTAGTGTCGACAACATGAGAGAAATTATGGTAGTTGCTTTTCGAGGTTATTCCACATATGCCTTTTAAAATGAAAAGATCCTTTTGAAAAGACAATCATTTTATGCAGTTAACAATAAAGGAAACATTTTGAGCATTTGATTTCATCTAGCTAATTTTTGTCGCATAATTATAGGTTTATATCCAGTTTTAATTCTGTAATAATTAAAATATGTTTTAAACGTGTATATTTTTATTACCCTTGAGTATTTTACTCTACAACCTTCAATTTTTGTTAAATTAACACAAGGTATATCAAAGATACCTATATCACACAGCCATCTAGATTTTTTCAAATAATAAAGATTTACTGACGCAAAATCAGAAAAATTAAAATGTCTGGGAAAATCTTTATCTGAGGGGTAGGCAGCCTTAATAATATTTTGAAGATATAATATATGTTACGGTTAAGGTCCGATGCCCGGTTAATGTCGACATTACCCGGTAAATCTCGAGAATAACACACGACAAAACAACCAAAAACATTAACCTAAATTAACCTAACCCAAACATTAACCGGTTAATGTCGATATTAACCGGACATCGGACTTTAACCGTAACATATACATTCCCCATTGAATACCGATAAAATATACTGGGTGTTTAAAATTAAGGAGTAAAGCTTGATTTTCATGCATCCGTTATCCGACGATACGATGGTACGATATTAATTTTATTGGTTGAATTTAAAGACTTCGATTGGTTAGAAACGGTTAACCAATGGAAGCCTTTAAATTCAACCAATAAAATGAATATCGTATCAACGTATCATCGGACAACGGATGCATGAAAATCAAACTTAACTTGCTCTTAAAAGTGACTAATGTTCCATACTAATTTTGTCTCACCCTGTACAACTTTTCGGGTCAAATTTCAATTTGGTTTAACATACAATGGTTACTGTAATCTGTAATTAAATATCAGGCTATACAAGGTCAACTAAAATTTAGGTAGCCGTTATATATTAGGTTAGGCAGAAATTTAAAATTTACTATTCATTTTATGTCAAAATCCTTAGATTTTAGGTAAATGCTTCTTTATTAATAAAACTCACCTTTATTTTTTTCCTAGAATCCGAAAATCAATTAATATATAGGGTGTTCCATTAGAAAAAACACAACTTTGATGTGTAAATTTTTTTGGGGACACCCTGTATAATTCTATATATTTTTATAAAATGCTTTCAGTTAACCTACATATGCTGCCAAAATTTCAATTCGATATAAACTACCCTTCTCCTTGGAGCTTCCGCGGCGTATGAGAGGTGCCACCCTGTATTTAGATACTCTCTTTGTAGTTGGACCCATTGTTGTCTAGGTTGGCTATGCGGGTCCAAGTTATCCCTGCTAATTTTCTAATATCATGGTCCCATCTCAGGTTCGGTCTTCCTCTCTTAATTCCCGTCGACGCAAGATTTTTTCTAGTGTTGCTGTAAACAGCTTCGAGGATATCGCGTCTCCCTGTCGTACTCCTTTGCCTGTTGGGGACTCTGGGGTTGTTTTATATATCATTACTCATGCTTTGGCCTCTTTCTATATATTGGCGAGAATTTTTTTATAAGGCCTGGCAATACCTGGTTTCGCTAGTGCTTCTATTATTGCCTTAGCTTAGAATGAAGTCAAAAGCCTTCTCAAAGTCTGTAAAGGCTATGGCTAGTAGAAGTTCGTAGTCTTTTGTTCAGCTGATAGTTTCTCTTAATGTATGTATGTGATCAATTCTGCTGAAGCCGCTTCTAAAGCCTGCTTGTTCTCGTGATTGTGCAGCGTCTAGCATGTTTTGTATTGAATAAAAAAATAGATACCAGTAAATACATATTTAATTTTTGCATATTATAGGCAGAAGAAAATAAAGGAATTGATAAAGAAGCAGTCTCAAACACACACAACAAAGTGGTCACATCCGGAATCGTGGACAGTTCAAAAGTCGATGAAGAAGAACCCTCTATGGAACTTGCAGGTGACGAAAGAGAAAAAAGAGATGAAGTCTCTGAAGAAATGAAAAAGAGACTTCAGGAAAACCTCAGCAAACTGAAAGAAGAAGTCAGAACTGAAATTGAAAATCTTAAAACTAATATAGAAGAATCAGAAGAAGTGAATGAGGAGAATGAAGATGAAGAAGAAAAAAATCAGAGGTATGTGTGAATCTATATTACTAGTTAACCATATATTTAGAAAAAATTATTTAGACGCAAAAGAAACATAATGGCAACGTTGGTGGATGAAGAAACCAGTGATATTGATCCTCTAATGGCTTCAGATGATAGTTTAATACCACACATTCGACGAAGACGCCATATTCATAACGGATTGACGAATATTGGTAAAAAGCAAGGGCTATTCAACAAGTACTCAACGTTTTAGAGAAAAAGTCTTCCATCAGTAGGCTTATAATAGGTGGAATACTTTGTCTAGTAAACAAGATTACATTTTGTATTGCCCTCGAAATACTTCTAAATCAAAAATTAACTAGGAATCTTGTAGCAAAACCTGATGATGTAGCAGAAACATCTAATAAAGAAGTTTTCTTAACAAGAAGCCTTAAAGAATACGACAATAATGAAGAGAACGAAGACCAAAATGACATAGATGATGAATCCTTGGAGGAGAAAAGGAACGCAGAGTACTGTCAGTGTAGCAAGGGTGATAAAAACTGCAAGTGTGCAGACCCCAACCAAGATTTTAAACGTAAAGAAAAACCCAGATTCGAAGATGGAGAATATTATTTGGATACTCGACCGGACGCTTACGTAGTGATTGAAGAACGACCGGAAGGAGACTTAGAAAAAAGAAAGAAAAGAAACACTTTTGATGATTTGGTAGCCATTCACGGAGGTGGTCCTGTAGTAAATCATCTTCTAGCTGTTAGAAAAAGGAGTATGTTTCCAAGAGAAAGGTTTAAAAGAGCGGCTGATAATCGTTATCAATCTAATAAACAGCTGAAGTTATCTAATATGCTAGATGAAGATTTATTTGGAGCTCTTCCTCAGGGATATGAAGGAGAACTAGCTAGATATAAAAGAATAAAAAGGGTGTCTTGAGTTTTCTGTCCATGGTATGTGATATAAAGGAAGATATGTTAATAAGTGTAAAATTGGTAAAGAAGTAAAAGAAATTTATAATAATATGATATGATCTATATAATAATAGTTTACAAGAAGGTTTATAATTTATACACTGTTACAGATTACACAGAAACACACCATTACCAAAATAAACTCTATCTTTCGTAATATATATTTCTTGATTTTACCGATTTTTACTTTGTTTTTCAAATTATAAGGATTGCATAAATCGCAGTGCGGCTGAAATTTTGTGATGATGACTTCAAACAGCGGCTGTAAATAAACAACTAATGTAAAATAACAATTTTCTCAGTTTGTTCTTTATTATTTAAGGTTTGTTGAAGTGTGTAGTCAATCGTAGTTAATCGAATCCTTAAAGTCTAGCTGGAGAGAGCCAGCAGAGTCGGGCTAATATACTTATAAAGGGTGGAGCACCTCATTCGCATCGGTTGATTATACGAAAACGGAAAGATGTAGAAACAACATTTTTATGAGTATATGTAGAGAGGCAATGTGCATAATTTAAAATTATTTTAAAATATACCGGGTGTTTCAGAACTAAGATCCATACCAAAGTTATATTTTTTCTTGTGGAACACCCGGTATTTTATTTCATTTTTGGATTCGTAGGCATTATATTATTATAAGTGTTTAACATGTTTAAATGCTTTGGTTTTTGAAATATTTAAAGATATTTAAATATGCATGCTATAATAAAAAATCTTGTCAGCACCCTGTATATTACTTTAGAGAGTTAATTCTTGTGCTGACTTTGAAGCCAGAGAAATAAAATTTACTAAAAATTTGTATTGCCTCCTTAAATGGTACAGCGGTATAAATAAATATTTAAAATAGACCAGCAATTTTTATACCCCTGTAGACATTTAAGAAAGCAATCAATTTTTTTAGTAAAGTTTATTTCTCTGACTTGAAAGTCAGCACAAGAATTAATTCTGAAATGTAATATTTTGTTTCTACATCTTTCCGTTTTCGTATAATCAACCGAGGCGAATGAGGTGCTCCACCCTGTATATAGTTCTATTCTTCTTTTCCTGCTCATATATATGTATTTACTAAAGAGTAATGGACGACAGTATAGTTACGTCAAGTTTAAAATAGATAAAATATTAATATTTTAAAAATCTGAATATTCTTAATACGACCCGTAACGCAGTATCTAATACAATCCTCTGTTTAGGTATTTCTAGTTTTTGAGAAGTGTTACCAGATATGTTGAAATAGGAAAAAGTAACGTAAAGGCGGACTCTGACGACTCGTATACTTGGCAAGTATTTTTTATTGGCAAACAGGGTTCGGCGGGAGTGCGGCGGCGGCGTAGCTCCTATAATAAACTTAGAAATTCTGTATAGATACCCGACGCACCGTGTATACCCTGTATACCAATTACAAATGTTTGTCAAGTACACGAGTCGTGAGAATGCGCCTTAACCAAAGTCTGTCTAACGAGTCGGAAAAATTTGACAGTCAACACCCAAAAAATGACAGAAAATACAATTTACGCGTGCATTAAACACAACTATCACCGTCATGTATTCTCTCGCTGAACAGACTATATATTCTCACTAGCGAGTAGCTGTATTTTATATATATTTTTATTAAAAAAACATAAAAGGAAATCAAACATCTTAAAACGGGTGACTGTTTTATTCTAAAATATATGAAGAGAGCATGAAGTAAAACATAAGTGCCTATAATGTTAAAAAAATTCTGGTAAGGTAACAATAATACAAAAAATAGAATTGCGCAGTTCTACTGGAAGAACATAATTTATTCAATAAAAAAACAATGTTCATCAAAATTCGCACAAATATAAAATAAAAATATAAAACATATTGCACTTTGTAAACAAAAACAGAACATATACACAATATACATGTATACAAATATTTAAAAAAAATACACAGATTTTTTTGAAATCATTTTCGTTTTAATTCAGTCATGAGGATAATCTGAAGAATATCTTTTAATTTTGATCCCACAACAAGAATTCGCATTAAAAATTGCCAATGTTTAATTAAAATTATGTACATCAATTTGTTTATACTATGTGCTGTTCTTTCACTTAAAAAAATATACATACATAATAATTACACATTATATAGCTATATTTATTAAGATAAAGATTAAAAACATATATAATATACTCTATAACTAATATTTTTAGTTATTTTATATATTTTAGTTGTATTAAAATTATATTTAATATAAATTATCAGTCTTTTTATCCGTAAGAAAAAATATTCGAGTACAAGAAATCTAAGATAAATCGGTTATACAAAATGGTTTAACTTATTAAATAGAAATAATAGAACTAATTAAACAAAATATATTTTATTACAGTTGTCCAACATGAAAAAGATATTTTTTGGTATTGTATCGATAATATTAAATCACTTTATCTCAAATATTTTTATGAAGTGAAAGAACAATACAAATTTATAGATATACAGAGTTGTCCCTAAATAAAAAACTACCTATAAAAATTTAGGAGTGATTCTTTAAATAACGTTGAAAGAAAAAATGGTACTACATCTCTAAATGTCCTATTTTTCAATATACAGGACGATAAAATTGTTATCAAATTTACCAGTGATGTCTGTACACACACATTAAACTATGGTACAAAGAATGCATTTTTTTCTCTCACAATTTTCTGAAGAATTGTTCCTAAAACTTATATTTGTACTTAAGAACCACCCTGTATATTTAGGTATCAATAAAAAAGAAACAAAAACAAATATAATAAAATAAAGAAGAAAAAAACAACTAGCGTAACATGGCAATACCAGTAATTTTTATAAAATTTTTATTTTATCACCTAAGATAAACAATTTATACAATATATAAAAAATGTAACCAATCTATAAACATTTGGTAAACTAAGTAATATTGTAATTACCGAATTAAAAATCTTTAATTGATACAGTCATTTAAAGACTATCCTTCAGTCTTTGATATTAATTGTTTCCGTTTTTATCTCTTAATTTTCATATCTATAACACATCGAGAGTCCCAAAAATCTTAAAAGAGTCGTTACAAGTTGTGAGGGAGACTAAGGTGACCTTTATATCTAGAAACCTTTAGTTTGATTTCTCTTACCTCTATTTTTTTCTTAAATTGACTAGAGAAGAAAGTAAGGACAATTTTCGATCTTAAATTTTTGGACGGTTGTATAATTATGTCAATAATAGCTTTCTTTGATCTAAGGTGACTATAAGTCAATTATGAACCAGTAAATAATCTAAATTTATATAAAATTATTTAGGACTTTTCCATCTTAACCACTAGGTACTGTGACAAAGTACCTTAGATTTATAGAAACGACATAATGCGGCGGCTTCTTTGAAGTATGCACCTTAAATTGTTTGACCTTCGAGTCACATATTTTGACAATTAAATTCACATGTTTACTAAAAAAATGTCTAGAATTTTATTCCAAACCGTGGTCCACAGCCTTATAGCCTCCAATATCATCAGTGACATGACGCAATTTCTAGGGAAAAATTCAAACGCTATATTTCAAATTATTTCCCGCAGCACTGTCTAACGCCGAAGAGGCGTTCACCGACATATTCATGATGATACAATAACAGAAAGATAAGATCCTGGGCGGTCGCAAATCTGTTCTCCGCGCGCATGACGTCACTCGGGTAGTAATTTTCTGTTAAGCTCCGCCAACTACATGCGCAATATCTTATCTCAGAACATCCTTGGCTGTGGCAAATCGGTTCTCCGCGCGCATGACGTCACCCGGATAGTAATTTTCTAATAGGCTCTACCCACTACATGCGAAATATCTTATCTTTCCGTTATTGCATCATGGTATTCGTGACACTCCTGGCTCCTTCTAAAATGCGCCAACTCTACCGACCTAGAGTTGGCTAACTCTACCGAGTAGCTAGTGTTTAAATCATATTTATTAACTAAAGAATATTGACTCCAAACTGCATTCTGTGAAGTCGAACCGGTGAAATGGGTATATAAATCTTCTGAAGGAATTTGCATAAGTCGCTCAGTTAGGCGTGCTCAAGCGTAGTGTGCAAGCGTGGATTTTGATGTGGTTATCGATCGGATAACTAGAACAATAAGAGACCAGACGTTAGCACCAGCTGTTGATTCGTACGGCTTCGTCCAACTTCGTACGGCTTTCGTTTGCGCTCCCCTTCGACAATTAGCTAATCTCAGAGTAAGGGCTAATCGATATTCGGAATTTTGGATTTGCGCTATTGCGCCAGTGTCTGTCCAACAAACGAACTTATGTGAAATATACATGGACCGGTTATCTAGTTGTCCCTAACTCGGCTTCAACGCCAACACATTGCAGGGATAGGCGATGAACTGTATATAGTTTATATGTATATGGTTTAAATCGACTCTTATGGTGGATTCATACTTCGAGTATTTGTCCTAACCTTACCTTTAACATTAATCCTAAGAAATTAACCTCAAGTACTTTGAAATGCCGTTCATACTTCTACTTGTCTTAAGCGGGTTTTACATTTTTTTACAGGGTTTTTCACAAGAAAAATTGCAGCAAAATTTGCAATTCACTTTACAGTCAGCAATTCTGTTGAAATTCTTTGTATTCACACAGTGATACCAATATGAAGAAATTTTTGACGTTTTGAAATTCAATAGAACTTAAATGTTTTATTTCTATTTTTGTTTTATTTTATGTGGTACATAGTATAGTTTAATTTATTATTTAATATTTAATACGTTATTATCGGCAAATTATCGATACAGTTGCCCTTCTGATCCATTATTTTTTTAATGTTGGTAACTATAGAATTGCAACTAACTTGCAATAAAATCGAGTGGGATCGTTTTTCTACAAGACCTTGCAGCTGCAAGAGTATTGCGTGAAAGGATCAGCTGTTTTTAAACTACGCATGCCTTTCATTAAGAAAAACTGCAAATTGCAGGAACTATTGCAGACTGTAAAACGGCCTTTAAGCTCGCAGTTACATTGGACGCGAGTCCGTGCGTTTTTTCATACGTGCGAGCTCTGACGGAATTTACTCGCACGACTATTTTATTATAGTGGTTACATTAGATGCAGAGAACAAGAAACTTATAGAGAAAAAAAAATCGAACGCTTACACGTCCACGTATTAAAAAAAATATTTTTTTTTCAGTTTAATACAATTTTAAAATTGTAAAATAAGATTTATTTTTTATATCAACCCAATTATTATGCTTCGTTTATGATACTTCGTTTTTTAGCTAAACATGTTTAAAGTGTTCATCTTTTTTTCAATTTAGTATAAATTTCTACCAAGTGCCTTTAACGATTCGAATGAAATTTGAAGAGTAAAAGTTACTATAAGTGCAACATATTTTAATGCTAAAAAAGTGTCGACATATTTACCAGGGACGTGCATTTGGGTTATCAGTAAAATATTTTTCTAAAAAAGACATGTGCCCCGCTGACTTTCTTTGTTCCTGTTAACAGAGTTGTGTAGGCCATTTAATGCCGATCAAAAGTTGTAACAGATACTTGATAATCACAATTAATAAAATTAAAATTAATAAACTATTTATTTAATCTAATTTATTATTAAATTTTATTACAATTTATAACACTGCTATTCAGCACTATCTACATCAAATTAAAAAAAAATAATGATATTTAAGGCAATTACAAAAACCTAATTTTTAAAACTTAACATTCTGTAACTTTAAAAATATGCATTTTCGCATTCATGTTCATAAAAACTTTTTTTTATATTTTTTGATGGGGAACCACTTGGTACTTATTTAACACTTTAGTTAGTTATTGATATTAATTGAACTTAGATTAACGAAAATTAATAGCGTTTATCTTATCCAAGAGACCGAAATCGACAAAATATCAAGAGAGAACTTTTAATCATTGAACCGTCTACCCAATTTTTCTAACCAGAGAAAAGAAATGCAGTGGCGCACATCATTTTTTCGAAAAATATGCCAGTAATATATTATTATATTATGCACGACCCTGGTGAATATGTCGATACTTTTTTAGCATTAAAATATGTTGCACTTTAGTAACGTTTACTCTCAAAATTTCATTCAAATCGTTGAAAGCATTTGGAAGAAAATTATAATAAATTGTAAGACTAATAATAATAAGACTTTAATACCCCGTAGATACGAAGTGAAGCAGAATCGGACGTATGTTACATGAGGAATCTCTCCACGAGAGATGGCACGTGTTTTTTGAAACACCCTGTATAGAAACACACAGATTATGTACAGCATATACACATACACATAATATAAAGTTGTGGTTGTCGTCATTCTTTATCCGTTGCGACAACAGTGACCTGTTGGTACTAGATCCTGGTCAAATGGCATTGAAGGCATTCTTTTCTTAATTGTTGTTTCTCTGGTTTAGTGTATGGTTCTTGTAAATATTAACCATTTTACTTTCTTTAATTGTATATATTTTAATTTATTTACGTCTTCTGGTAAACTGTGGAATGTTTGGATTGTTGTTCTTTACTCTTTGGGTTACCATCTTATTTTTTACTTTATGCCTTCTGATGTGTGATTTTCTGGTAATTTTGAACTTTGTTTGTGTTTAACTCCATATTCGTTTTTATAGTATTGTTTTTTTATATAGCAGTACGTCATTTTGCTTATGACGTTGCAATGAGTTTAAAAATTCTTTTCGGTCATATTACTCCATATAGTTCATCCTTGAGGTAAACAGTGTGTGATATAAAAGTATTCTCATGTTATTTGGTATCAGTTTTTGAATTTTTATCAAAGCTGCAATTGTGCGTGTATTTTCATTTTTCAGCTTTGCTATATGAGCATACCATTTTAAATTATTTTTTCTACAAACGTCAGTAAAAATGTAATTTTTAACGCATGCTGTCAGTGCCTAAAATGTGACATTATGTATTATGTATTACCCTAGCAAGCATAAATTTCATAATTAATTTGATTTCAGAATGAACATATGAATTATTCGTTAACGTAAAAAGTAATAATACCTTGATATATACGAGCATAAACTTGTTTGTAGAAAAAATTGTGTATGATATGTGTGCTAAAAGTGATTTTATTTTGTTCAAAGGGATGGGACTTCACAAAATAAAATGCCACTTTTAGCACTTATATCATAAATAACTATTATATTTTTAACACTAAATAGATCATTTTTTTGAAAGTTTATTTTTTGTTTTGTTATTTTAATTATCATATATTCTGTTTCTAGTTCACTTATGGTTAGAAGATTATTATAGCACTTTCTCTAGGTATTTGTTGATGTTTATTTCAATGATGTTCTGATTTGTTCCTGTACATAATAAACATGTATCGTCAGCATATCCGTATATTTTGTAATGATAATTGTCATGTCAGTAATTAAAAGTATAAGTTTATTATCATACTTTTCGTCATCTTGTCATCCAACCCCAATTATTACCTATTTTTGAATAAATTATTTCTTAATTTGCCGCCATCATATCAGCAGTAATAACACGACTTATATGGCAAAATTATTGTTTTTGTGATGGGACATGCTAAATTAATTGAATTTTCATTCTAATAGCATTAAATGCAAACGTATCTGAATGCATAATTTGCGACGAAAAAATATTTCCTAAAATTTTGAACTTATTGTGAGCATATGCCGTTTCTGAACTGGTTCAAAAATATAACCTCAAACAAAGCTAATATTCTTAATTGTCCGAAAAAGCTTAGAACCAATTTTATTCAGGTCACTCTAGTCTTCAAGGTCTATATACAAAAAATCTTTTCCTTTACTTTTTTTAGTATCGACAAGACCAATAAACGAACAGAGAATTTGCAACTTGTGCAACACTATCTTCTTGGCAACACATGTCAAATGTCACTAACTCTAACGATCACACTTAATATATAGTCCAGACAAAAGTATTGCGACGAACTGGACAATATATACGAATTTAGTCTGTTTGAGATTCCCTGAAACAAAATATTTGATTTAAATCAGTGTTATTTTGTGAGAATAATATAAATAGAGAGAGATCAGTAAATGTAAAGGAGTTGCAACTGGCTATAAACAATTGTTTTCTTTTACGTTAGGGTGCCTCTCGGTTTACTTATGTCTCCCAGATTACATTGTAACCTTTACCTTTGTTATGACCTGAAATCTTCAACTATCTCTGATATTCCTATAGAGCTGTTAAGCATTTGTAGTTCGACGAGATCCAATGCTCCCAAGCCTTCTTTCAGTTCGTCAGTCAGGAATTCGTTATCTAGTTGTCTCATGTCAGCACTACCTGAAAAATCTGTAAAAAAATCCTTTCAGTTCATTTGCATAATGTTTTTTTTTTTATATTTTCACATATAATGAGACAGTAAATACACTTCCGTGTCATTAAGGCGTTAAGTATCACTGAATTGATATTGATTTTATTTTCAAGGCCTTACTAGTAGTGGAGTGCCCAGAGACTTACTTCAGAATTCAATTCCTGTGAATGTATTAATGTGAAACCTTGTGTATTGTGTTTTATAGATAAAATACTAAAATGTTTACCTATTATTTTTCGTTGCTTTTAATTTTTTATTTTAGTAATTTTAGTAAATTCTTAAATTATTTCCTTCTTACTTTTTTGATTATTTTAATTCTTTTTGTAAGTAAATTTATTGAAGTAAATAAATCTAATGCATAAGCTATACCTATTCTGCTTATATTCTAATCATTGAAATTTTGATTGAAATCGAATTATACAGGGTGTCGCGACATATACGACGCAGTTTTTGCAAGGAGAACAAAAGTTTGTATTGAAGTGAAATTTTGTGAGCTTATGTAAGTCAATTTAAAGCATTTTCTAAAATTATGTAGAGTTCTACAGGGTGTCCCCCAAAAAAGTTACATATCAAATTTATGTTTTTTGTAATGGAACACCCTATATATTAATTGATTTTTGGATTCTAGTAAAAAATAAAGGTTTGTTTCATTAGAAAAGTATATGACTAAAATGTATAGTTTTTGAAATACATTCACCGGCACGAAAAATGGTATTTTAAAGGTTTGGTTTGTGGTTTGGTGGTAATATATTTTGTTTTAATGGGCCGATTTTGATAATTTTTTAAGCAGTGTTTAGCCAAATTATTTGACTTTTTAGTACTCTTTTTCCAAATTAAAAATGAAACTCCGCATTTGTTAATTGTACGAGGGAAAACAAAATTTTAATATTTTGGTGAAGTTTGAAGCACCCTGTGGAATATGGTAAAACCGCAAGAAATTTAAAAAATAATTTTATCATCTAAATATATCCTTTCTCGATGGTTTGTTTTTTGGTTCATCTCATTAGCTTTATTTCTCATGCCTTTGCTTTTGGGCCTAGTCAACACATTTGGTAAATTGTAAGTTCTGGTCTCGAAGCATAAGATTTGCTTCATTTGCACTGGTGCTAAAAGTAAGTCACGTGATTTACTTTTAACACTGAAGCGATAACAATTACCCTAGCAACCATAAATTTCATAAATAATTTGATTTCAGAATGAACATATTATGAATTATTCATTAACCTAAAAAGTAATAATACCTTGATATATACGAGCATAAACTTGTTTGTAGAAAAAATTGTGTATGATATGTGTGCTAAAAGTGATTTTATTTTGTTCAAAGCGATGGGACTTCCCTTCTCACAAAATAAAATGCCACTTTTAGCACTTATATCATAAATAACTATTATATTTTTAACACTAAATAGATCATTTTTTTGAAAGTTTATTTTTTGTTTTGTTATTTTAATTATCATATATTCTGTTTCTAGTTCACTTATGGTTAGAATATTATTATAGCACTTTCTATAGGTATTTGTTGACGTTTATTTCAATGATGTTCTGATTTGTTCCTGTACATAATAAACATGTATCGTCAGCATATCCGTATATTTTGTAATGATAACTGTCATGTCAGTAATTAAAAGTATAAGTTTATTATCATATATGACTAAAATGTATAGTTTTTGAAATACATTCACCGGCACGAAAAATGGTATTTTAAAGGTTAATATATTTTGTTTTAATGGGCCGATTTTGATAATTTTTTAAGCAGTGTTTAGCCAAATTATTTGACTTTTTAGTATCTTTTTCCAAATTAAAAATGAAACTCCGCATCTGTTAATTGTACGAGGGAAAACAAAATTTTGATATTTTGGTGAAAGTTTGAAGCACCCTGTGGAATATGGTAAAACCGCAAGAAATTTAAAAAATAATTTTATCATCTAGATATATCCTTTCTCGATGGTTTGTTTTTTGGTTCATCTCATTAGCTTTATTTCTCATGCCTTTGCTTTTGGGCCTAGTCAACACATTTGGTAAATTGTAAGTTCTGGTCTCGAAGCATAAGATTTGCTTCATTTAATCTTCTTCTTATAGTTCGTTAGTCAATATGTACGTTTCTTAGGTGCAATTCATTATCAATTTGAAAAGCTGGCAAACGGCGGTTCTTTAGCGATAAACTTACAATAGGTCGATCGTCTCGATTAGAAGTTCTCATACGAAGGTTCCTGGACGTCTAGATTGACGTCTTCATGACGTCCTATGGACATAATTAAAAAAATAGTATACTTTATGGTATTAAGGTATTTTTGGAACCGGAATTTTATAGCAAATTCACTGAACTAGACAAATATAGATATATATTTGACTCACCCTGTACATCTAGGTATACAAATATTTTTGAAATATGAACTACCATTAAACACATATTTTGTAAAAGGTTTGGAGTAAAAATATTAAATAGGAATCCTGATACAGAGCTTTTCCGGAATACGGATCCATCTTGTATGTATGCATTTGTATATGTGTGTTTATTTAAATACTAAAGTCAAAGCAACGAATTTAAATAGGTAAACTTTGTAATATATCTTATTAACAATACAATGCAAAAAGTTTTATATATAAAAATTCGTTCACAGTAAATGAATTCCTAGGTATGCATCCCATAAGGGCTTAAAGCACTCTACTATAGGTAGCCTGAAATAAAAAATAACATAACATCTGTTTAACATCGGTAATAATCAAATAATGATCCATTAAATTTGATTGTGCGCTTCAAAAAAAAACAAAAAAAAGAACGTACAGCGAGTTTTCATGCATCTGAATTTCGGACGTTCTCTGTACAAGATAGATTTTAAAACTTTTCATGCATGCAAACATTTTTTACGACATCAACTGTATATTTGATACCAATTAAACTTTTAGTTACGTAATCGAGGGTGCGATTTTTAAATTCATTGTCAACATATTCGTCACCGGTCTGACTAACTGGAATTTAAATTTCCCGTTGGGGATTCAGGTAGTAGCTCTGCTGTAAAAAATTTCAAATTGCCACATTTATTTATTTATTTTCTGACATTGTCATTCGTTTTGACATTTTAGTTTTGTATTACGAGTTTTTGGTTTAAATTAATCGTGTTGAGATATTTTAAGCTTACACATTTTTTTTTACTAGCAGACCTTGCAGTCGAACATTGTTCATTTTAGAACCTCTTTTAGTGCGAAGTGTACAAGATAGCTTAATAGCCGTAAAAACTCATCGCAACGTTATTAGAATATTTTAAACGGGAAAGCGGTAAAAATGGCCCTTTATGTCCGTTAAGTACTGTTCAGGAGGTGAGTTTTGTTGATGTAAATAATAACCGTTTATATATGTATGAATTTATAATTCATTTATTTTTGTTTCCTAAAATATTTTGATTAAAAGAAAATATGTAAGGGTGGGCAACACTGTGCCGGTCAAGCTTAATCACGTGACTGAAAGTTTATTTGATATGAACTATAGGTATCTATCAGATTAAAACGCCTGAAATTCAGAAAATTGTTAAAACTTTAACTTTTTACGAATTCCGTATTATTTTTCACAGAAAACTTCCAAAATTCTGATACATGAGCACTTCGTTTAGAAATATATATTAATTTTGACTTAATCGTTGACTTATAATTACACAGTTGTATGAACATTGGTAACGTATGTTACAAACAACTCTGCAAATTCTAAGCCAACGATATGCGTTTATTTACCTGTCAATATGATCTCTGGAACGCTTGTCGGAGTATTGGGTGACGTGTTCTGCAATCCCGGCGACGGCGATGGGAACACCAACTGTTGCGACGGCGACGTACTAAAGTAGCCGGTATCCGCCGTGACGTCATTCATGTTCTGCCCGTGCGATTGGGACATTTGAGGATTCGTTGATTGATCTGTGTATTGCATCTGACCGATGGGCGAGTCAGACTGTAGCGTATACAAAACAGATATTTGTACAGGTGTAATTGAATCACAAAGCCCGTTTTTACCAGAATAAGTTATACTTTTAGTAAATAATTGCAGGACTTTTATACCATCTGGCACAGAATAAATACCCCGAAATAAAAGAAGTTAATGTGGACAAAATTAAAATATTAAACAATAGACATGTATAAAAGATAAAGCAATCATAGTTTGTTCTGACCCAACATACCGATTACAGTTAAAGGGTGGTGCATCGTCGTTGGAAACATAGGAAATCCCATGCAAATTTTGAACTGGCCAAATATTGACCCCCTGTTAATTTTACAGCGAAGTCGTAAATAATTTTTTAAAACGTCTGCGTATGCTCAATACATATGCCAAATTTGTTTAAAACCAAACAATTTTAGACATTCTAACTAATTTATGAAAAACTGCATCTATTTTTAAATTATAACCAAGCATTTGAGGAGCAGACTTTCTAGATCCATTTTGTCTATTTCTTCGAATTTTGGCAAAGAAAGAAAAACTGCCACGCTTTTTGCAAGACATTTTTGCCGAAAAACTAGTATACTTGTAAAATGGATAAAAAATCAGTACACCTACATGTGAAAAATGTAGTTTTGATGATATCGTGACGTGACAACGTGACATTTATCTTTATTCTTCTGCTACCACGATCCGTATCCCCAACTACATGGTCCCCAGTCGTAGTTCCATGCGTTATTTTAAGTAGTATCTATTATTAAAAAAAATAGAGAAGTTGTAGTACAATAAAGAAACTCTTCATATGGCAATGACAAACAGCAGTATGTCAACCGCACACAAGGACATACTTCTGTTTGTTTGTCTACCGCCAATGAACATACAGCACATAAAAAGTCTAAGGTATTTTCGCCATTTAATTCGAATGGGATAAAATATATTTAACACGTCGTTTCTGGCATGATATTGTAACTGTGTGTATGTAGTTTGCAATGCCACCTTTGGCTGGAAATCTTTAAAAATGGACAAAATGCATTTAGTAAGTCTGCTCTTCATTTATCTGTTTACATCAGATTTGTATATCTTGGGTAATTTCGTTTTGAACGGTATACTTTGCCTATTTATTTGTCTGAGTACTAAACTACGTCAGAGTAATAATAACACAAACACAACTTTTATCTGGGCTATTTATCCTGGGCTAGTATGCCTGGAAGAAGTGTTATAATAAGCCTATAAATATAGTGGTGAAGCAGACATAAAAAATATTGTTACAAGTAAACTAAAATTGTTGAAATCAATATAGTAAAAATTTGTTTATATGCAACATCAATAACATAAGCTAATTTTTTTACATAATCAGTATTAGTAAAGCTAAATATTATTAATTTACTAAAGCATTTAATATTATAATGAAAAACACAAAAAATCATGATACATTAAACTGACATGCCAAGTTAGATATTTAAAACCTCATATATTCCCTACTAAAAATGTAATAAAACCATTTACGTTTTTTTATTACAAAAACTCTGCAGTATCAGTTCATATAGTTCAAGATCATGCAGTATATTTATATCTTAATGATTAACAAATATGTACATTCAAATTTTCTCATGCTAAAATATATAGTCATTCAATGTAAACAGGAAATTTTTATTTTGTTCTGATTGGATATGACAACGGTTATAGTGATATTTATGTTAAATGAAGTGTCAAAAAGGAAAATATGTATAGCAACTAACATCCAGACATTGGAAGGCTATCGCAGAAACAGCAAGCTCTTTGATCTTAGAATTGCAAGCGTAAGAAAAAGTATATTTTTGGAGACAAATTAATAAAAATAACGTACTCCGACTCAACTAATTCGGAGCATACTGGACCAAGCTAAATTAAAAAATATAAAATTTAACAAAAAAAGCACGATTCCATTTTTTTAATGAAATTGTAGGAAACAGATAGGAAACAGCTTTCTAATCTTCTAAATTATTTTTTTTAATTCAAATTTAAAAACTCAAAACAATATGAAATTAAATAAATTTACTGTAAAAATCAATTTATTAAAACAAGAATTTTTTATATGTATATATAGGATGTTTGCAGTTTTTTAGTGATTTTTAATCCTTAAAATGTTGTAGAATGAGACAAGTTATATGTTGCAAACCAATCGACAATATTCCAATTCAGTCACATTGGCTCTTGCTTCTTCCAAATATTACCGAAAATGCACTAATATAAACACCCTGTATATTGAAATAACATATTACATTGTTACTTATTTTAATTTGTCAATTACCAACAAAACACCCAGTAGTATCTCTGGTGCCATTATAAAAGACAAAGGTGCAAAAATTTTGAAAGAAAATGATTAAATAAAAATACATATTTTTACGTATTCTAAGAGATAAGGGACTAAGTTCAAGTAACAATAATAGAAAAAAAAATATAAATAAATAAATTATCTGCATGTAAATGGTACCTCGAGTTGTGCGCTCCAAGTGCAGCCCGACTCCACTAGGCTGGCTACTAGCTGCGCCCAGTCCTACCAACACAACATGCACACACATTTATACACTTAGCGCCATCTTTAATGAGTAATGTAACTAAAAATTTTCATTTTTTCTAACTTTATTAATAAAAAACTATAGGATATTTCGAATATAAGGACATTTCAGCAGCTGATTCCTCAACATTATTTTATAAAACATGTTCGTATAAACTTTTTAATAAAAAGACTAAGGAAGAAGTATAATGATATCCATGCATTCATACATGAGAGACGGAATGGACGCCATCCTTGACAGTGTGTTTGACGTTTCAATTGACATATTTAAATTTCATATGAAATTTTAGGGATTTGTTGGGCTTTTTCTGAACTTATTTTAAGCTATTTTCGATACCAATTCAACTTTTAGTTAAATAATCGGCACGATTTTTAAATTCATTGTTGCCAACCATGGACATACTCGCCGCCGGGCTGACTAACTGGAATTTGCTTTTCCCGTTGGGGTTCAGGTGGTAGCTATGCTGTAAAAAATGTCAAGTTGCGATATTTATTTATTTATTTCTTGATATTGTCATTCGTTTTGACACCTTAGTTTTGTATTACAAGTTTTTGGTTTAAATTAATTATGTTGTGATATTTAAGCTTAAATTTTTTTACTAGCATACCTTGCAGTCGAACATTGTTCTTTTTAGAACCTCTTTTATTGCGAAGTGCACAAGAGAGCTTAATAGCCGTAAAAAACTCATCGCAACTTTATTAGAATATTTTGAACGGAAAAGCGGTAGTAATGGCCCTTTATGTCCCTTAAGTACTGTTAAGGAGGTGAGTTTAGTCAATGTAAATAATATCTGTTTATATATTTGTAATTAATTTATTTTTGTTTCCTAAAATATTTTGATTAAAAGAAAATATGTAAAAGTAAGCAACGCTGTGCCGGACAAGCTTAATCATATGACTAAAAGTTTATTTGATACGAACTATATCTACTTATATTTTTACACGTTTTAAATAAAATTAGAACCTCGTTGATAAACCGGAATATAAGTCAGCCATATTGAACTCTCATCGCGCTTCACCTAAGTTTTTAGCCAATAGTATAAGCCAATAAATAAAAGACTAAGAAAAATCAATATTTTTCTATTCATATTACAGACGGAAGTGACGAAAGGAGATACATTATTTTGTTCGTTTTGTTTGACGTTTTTCTTGACAACATTTAAATTTGATTTGAATTTTTGAGGGTTTGTTACGCTTTACTGTATTTATTTTATTTTTTTGTTTAGTTGTTTCAGTAGCATAAGGATATTCTTGTTATTAAATAATACCGGTGCGTCTCAAAACTGGCTCACCCCTATAACTTTTTTATTTTTTTCAGATAATAAAATGAGATTCGGTATGTTAGTATATGACATAAATTAGGATTGATTGACGTATTCAATTGTTTTTGGTCACTTCCTGAAATGACTACAACTTTTGATTTTTAAATGGCACCCTCGGTATTTTTTTACTTTTTCAATAGAAAATGACATTCTGAATAGATTGACATATCATATATCAACTTTTGACATTCTCGCTTAATAAAAAATCATATTTTAAAATTCAATCTAGAGTTAAAAACTAACGAACTCTTAATCAAGGAGTCTTAGAAAAATAGATTTGATCGCCTAATGTTTTTAGTGTCTTGTCCTGACCAGTTATAGAAAATGTTCAAATCGTATTTTTAATCATATCTTAATTTTTTCAAATGGGACGAGGGTGGCTCATTAGCATATTTGGAAAAAAAAAATTTACGAATAATTTGATACCCCACACTTGGTATTTAAAAATCAAATTTTCGTTACGAACCGCAAGTTATAATTTCAAATAAACCATATGCAAAAATGTCAAAAGTTGACATATGATATGTCATTCTATTCAGAGTGTCATTCTCTATCAAATAAAGTCAAAAAAACCGAGGGTGCCATTTAAAAATCAAAAGATGTAGTCATTTCCGATGAAACAGGAAGTGACCGAAAACAATTGAATACGTCAAAATCTCGTTTTTTTATTTAAAAAGATAAAAAAGTTATAGGGGTGACCCACTTTTGAGACACACCCGGTATATCAACTTATTTATGTATATTACAAACAGTGTTATAGTAATAGAATGTTTTATAAATTTTAATACCTTACAATTTTAATATTTACTGACTCAAAACTCAGACAAAACCAGCAAATTACTAAGTCTGTCCCCCTACTTTTATAAATTAACACCTTTAAAAAAACCCTACTGATAAACCGAAATCTCAGCCATATTAAGGTAACTTCGCGGTTGCTTGGTTGATATTATGCTCTATCCTTAGTCTTTTGACCGGACTATGTTTATATAAACCATCTTTCGTAAAATATCCTAAGGAATCATCTAAAATATATCTCTCTAACATTGTACCCTGTATAATGTCATTTTTTTACTGACCATAAAATGAAGTATGAGCTGATTAAACTCAGGTGATTATGTAATTTTTAAATGTCATTATTTCAATAAATAAAAATTAAAAAATATAATTATCCTAAAAAAAATAATGATATTAAAAATGATTTAAAACAATGTAACTAAATTTAAACACTAGCAGTAGGTAAATGTTATTATATATCAATTAACTAATCAATTAACCTTTGATTTTTTTCTTTTTTCATTATTATAAATTCTATTAAGATATCGATCAATATACATTATGTCCCTGGATTGTCTTTACAAGAAGAAAAACGTTTTTAGACCTTTTGAAAAATTTTTTTTACATTTTGAGGAAAATACTTTTGCTTGTTCTAGAAAGGTACATCCCGTTTATACTTTTCCAAATTTCCATACTGTTTTAGAGAAAATTAAGAAAAAATAAAAATAGGAATGAATTTTTTCCTAAAAATCCTAAAAATCAAAAGGCGTATGGTAATATCAATTGGATTTCATTCTTTGATAAATGGTTATTATTAATTTCGATTAACATCATATTCTTTGCTGCAGTTAAAGTATTACATTTTCCGATAACTATCATAACCCTTTCCATAGCATTGAACTAAATAAATTTTGTGCTTCTTTAACATTTTCTTAATTTTTCTAAAACGGTCTGGAAATTCGGAAAAATATAAACGGGATTAACCATTTTAAAACAAGCATTTTTTTATGAAGAATGCATTTTTCTTAAAATGGCAATGATAAAAAAAGTTTTTCCTCTTGTAAAGACGATCCGGGGACATGCTGTAGAAACTATGTTTACGTTAAACTGAAGTTTAACAATATCATTTAAACCATTTGAAAACTATATGATATAAGAGTCAATCCGATCTTAGATGTCATATTTTAAAAGTACTAGACAGACAATGATTCAGTATTTTAAAAAGAATTTCGGATTTCCATTGTCTTTATTTATTTTAACTTACACAGGTGCAAGGTAAAATAACTATAGACTAATAAAGTCCGAAATTCTTTTAGTATCAACGTCATTTTAACTCACTGAATAGATTATATATAAGAACTAAGCGACCTATCATATTTTGTATGGTATAATCATAAATATATTTTATTCATTTCGACTTCAACTTTGCTATTGTATATGACTACTGTAAATCATTTTTTTTAGGAGTCGTTCATCGAAATCATATATGATTTCAGACTATACCTGTCATTGTGATTGTGTAGATTTTGTGCATACCATTATGTAATATAGTTACTATTATAAACAGAATGTAATTTTCTAATATTTTTTTAATATTGCGTTTTCGTAAACATAATTCAGAATAGGCAATAGTCTCTCAATGACTGCGCACGTAATGTATGGAAGCTGAATCTCTAATCTAATGAGTCAATGCAGATCTGGCTGAATACGTAGTTAGATCATATCAAATCAAAGAACTAAAAAAGCCGTATGACTGATGACGTAAATGTTTTTCGATGAGGATATATCGGGGCATAAGGTGAACATCTAGTGCACTAGGTATAACAAACATGACTTACCACTCCCTGATTAGCAACAACAGTATTAGTGTATTAATGTTTTATATAGTTTTTATTTCCATTGCACAGTTCCTTTTTTTAATTTAAAAATTTACACGATACATATACAACCGGTATGCTATATACAAAATCCAAATGCGCCGATATGCAGCACATGATGACATCGTCTGTACAGACCTTACATGGCAGCATTTGTTAATAAACTATATTATCCATTGTATAAAAAGACTAAGAGTACGGAAGGAGAGTCCAAAGGCAAAAGTGTGTCGAATCAGAGGGTATACGCCAGTGACAGTTGTTTCTGTCATTTTAATTCACAGGTAAATTGTACCTTCTGTCACTTTTTGGAAAAATCACCTATCGAAATCTTCATGCATTAGATACAAAAGCGACAATACTGTCAGTTCTGTTTGACATTTCACTTGACACATTTGAATGTGATTTGAATTTTTGCGGATTTATAGCGCATTTTTGCATTGGTTTTATGTTAAGTGTACAAATCTGGAAATATATTGTGTCAGTACTTGAATTACAGTGAGACTATGAAAATTTTAGAAAGAGGCATCAAAAATACAATATGACGAAAAAAAAACGGCGCCATCGATGACTTTGAAATAAAGGCCGCTCTTATTTTGTATGTAAAATTATATGGAGGATGTCATCGATCGTTATTCAAAAAGCCGGCTGGATAAACTTTTTGCCCTAGTATATTTTATTTGGTGTTAGCTGCCATGCCAGTTTGTATTACATTACACAGGCAGTGTATTCCATGTGACGTCACACCATGCGTAGAAATATACTGGTTATATATGCATCATGAAAATGTGTTAATAAAGTAACATATCCCATTAAAATAGAAATTATGACAGAATACCATAGAAAAAATTTATAACTACGTTTATTCCGTTTGATGCAAAATTTTATTTCGATTTAGTTTCTTTATCCAATTTATATTTTGTCATACTTTCTAAATACTCTGTTTTGTTTGTTATTTTTATACATTACCCTTACAACTACAAACCAGATGATAAATGCAAAAATTGAATAATAAAAACTATAGGAAATCATTTTGTAAATAAAAATAATTTTAAATCTTTAAAGCAACTAAAAGGAATACACTTTAAATTATCTTTATGATAAAATTAACGAATTTTTTGATACAAAGCAAATGACGTCCGTATGTTTTTATTAGTGTTAATATAGAAACAACCATAAATGAACAAAATAAGAAACAACTCACCACTGTCAACTGTTCAAAGTGTTGCTGGAACTGCATATTTTGATTTTGGATATGGTAATCGTTTGATAAAGGGCTGGGCTCTCCCGGACTACAAGGCGCAGAGTGTCGTCCACCCAGGGTTGGTGATGGTTGAGGGCTGGGTCTCGGACTTCGGTACCCGTCAATAGGCGATAACTGTTGAGAAGTAATGAATTAAGAGTCTTGTTCTAAATATAAACAGATATTGAAACAGTTCAAGATCATTCAAATCAACATATTACCAAATTCGGAATATGCATTTACCGCGAACGATTCCACAAAATCGCGCAATCAGCTAAACTCATGAAGATAAATAGGAACAAAAACTCCTTCTTTTATATAACAGCCTGATCATTCTGAATTTTCTCAATTTTTCGGATTTCCTGAATTTTAAAGCGCAAGATAAAGATAAACCTTGATTTATATTGTGATCAGCTGACGGACAGAGACACTAGAGGTGGGAATTCTAGTTCCTTGGGAGGAACTAGTTCCTTAATTCTAGTTCCTCCAGAGGAATAGTTCTTTGAACTAGGTCTTTAGTTCACAATAGTTCCCGACTAACATTGACATCCCCCTTGCTTGTTAATGCGTTTCGTTGTCAGTCAGAACTATTCACAGTATGACCTGTATAATTTTTATAATGTACGGAGATATAACGAGACGTGTAATTGTGTATGTTAAAAACATATAGGTAAGTTTTATAGCAAATAAAAAAAATTAAAAAAAACTCAAATCAGAATTTAAAAAACTATATCACAAATCAATTGGAGCAAATATTACAAAAATTTTACGAAAAATTGCATTTTTCCTCACTTCAAGCTTTTTGTTTTTGTCTAAAAATTCAGAATATCTACTTCGTTTTATAAGATATTCCTTAATTTTAGGGACCTAAAGTGAAACATTCCCATAAAATATTTAAAAAACAAACTAAAAATCAAAAACAGTATCCACGACAATTTTCTGTGGTAATTACGCCGCGCCGGCTGCGGCAATAGACAAGACCGAATCCATTGTCGTCGCCTTGTAGTATATCTCGGATTTGCCGACTGAACAGATTCCCGTGAACTATAGTCTTTTAATAGTTCCTCTATGTCCTGATCCGATAACATACGGCTCGCACTCCCCACGCCTGCCTAGCATCAATCGCGCTGGCTGATCCATACGTAAACTAGTCTTTATTTAGTTCCTCTAGTTCCTTTAGGTCCGGATCCGATAACATACGGCATAAGGCTGGCACTCCCCACTCCTGCCTAGCATCGATCGCGCTGGCCCGATCCGTTCGTACGTAAACTAGTCTTTTATTTAGTTTAGTTCCTCTAGGTCCGGATCCGATAACGTACGTCTGGCACTCCCCACTCCTGCCTACCATCGGGCTACGCGCGCTAGCCGATCCGTCGCCGTCGCATATTATTCTATATCGGACACAGTCTCGATCCCGGAATAGGTCCTGAGGAACTAGTCCTTTGAGAAACCAGGAACTAGTTCCTTTCATTCCGGGGTCGGAATAGTTCTTGGAACTAGTTCGTTCACGAACTACACACCTCTAAGAGACACAAGGAAATACAGGGTTGGCGGTTTCTACGCTAGTTGTCAAGTTTGGTTTGGTTAGGTTAATTAATAATAGAAAATAATAGTTTTAACATGTAGAAAACATTTTATAAAAAAACTACCTTTTTCGAATTAGCAAAACTCTTTTAAATACGCTGTTTTCTGTTAATGAGTGCTGTAAAAATGTATTTCTTTATATTTGGTTTTTAAATTATTATTTTGTACAGAAATCAAAATGTGTGCAGAAATAATTGTATAAGAAAATATGTATAAGTTGGGAAGAAAGAGAAACGCCATTTATTCCTCGTTTTATTTATTTCTTACATGAATTTTAGTGATGGGAAAAACCGATTAATTTCAATAATCGAGTACCCGAGTTTCAAGCGATTGCAATAACCGAGTGATCGCTCGAACGAAATATCACTCGTATTTAAAAATACGGTTTGGTTGAGTCAAGTTTGGTTAGTTAAGTACTCGTTAACGCCAAGCAGTAAGTTGTGTGCACAGGGCACATATTCTTTCGGTGATGGATGGCAAGTAGCAGGCGGCGAGCGATTCGCTGGATCGCTTGATTTAGTTTATTTCGAAGCATTGTCGATGTAGGTCGTAAAATTTTGTCCCTCAGATACGCAACGGATAAATATATATACGTATAAATTTGCTACCTGCAATGTATATAGAAAATTCGCTCGACTTCTTATCGAGTATGTCACATTAAAATCGGATTTCAATTTATTTCATTCTAGGATGGCTTGCGTTCGTCGCTTAGTACTCGTCACTTGCATCGCTCGTTCATAATCGAGCGATGTCGGTTATTTCAATAATCGAGTACTCGAGCGTATTTTCACTCGAGTTATCCCATCACTAATGAATTTTACATCAAAATGAAAAAAGTAAAAAAAGGACAGTTGGCTTAAACGCTTTTATTCCTTCTAATCACGTTTGTAATTTTATTTTAAATTGTATTTTTTTGAATTTGTATTTATTAAATTTAGTAACAATAAATTAGTATAGAATTTTCAGTGTACAGAAAAGTTTAATTATTGTCAAAATATATTACTTCATAGTAGGGTTGCCAAAGTTCAAAATAAAATATAGAGGATGAGAGGGTAAAAAAGAGGCACTAGTATAATTTCTCTATTACGATATCTGAATCTCTATATTACACGTTAAATTCAGACAACGAATTTAGAATAACCAGGCCTGTATACAAAAGAGTTCTTTTGGATAAATAACTGAAGTATAGAAATTTGCTATAAAATTTTGTAAAACAAATTCAAGAGTGTACAGTTCGTCTATCTGTTCTGAAGATACTGGGCATCTGTAGGGGGGGAAACGATATTTTCTCGATGTTTCTTGTAAAAAATTAGACGCGCGATTTGTCCCATCAATAAAAATTCGACAAATTTGCAAGTAGCCAATGAAATAAGTGGGCGGAGTGTTTTCTGCCGCTTCTATTTAGGTAGGGATTTATAAAATATATTGCTGTTTATTTAAATGTTTTTTGTCCGCATTCCTTTCATAGACACAGATCCAGTAGACGTACTTTATAGAACCTCACAGCTCAACGAAATCGAAAATATTACCGCAAATTATGGAGTGTAGACGTAAGAATTACATCAGTGCAATAGAAAGTGTCCAACAATGAGGTACCATTAAGAAGGCGCTGCTGTAGCAAAAGTTCTACATTTGAAAGAAAGCGCCAATAGTTGTTAAAGCAGGAAATAATTAAAAACACGGAAAAGTATCCGATTTGTGATGGCGCGTAACGTCACTATTTTTCACCAATTTTTATAACCGCTAAGATCAGTTCGAATTGTTATTGCTTATTAGCGTTACCCTGGCTATTATTTTAACTATTATTGTAGTTTGCCACTTTTTCAAACAAGGTGATTCTCCTTATTTCTACCTTCCATTCCCTGAACAAAGGTAATGGATCTTTAGTTTGTCCAGCAAAAGAATAATATATGACAGTGACAGTTATTGCCTGTTATTTTAATTATCAGTTTTTTAATCCATTTTTGGACGTTGTCTGTCAAAATCAAATATTTTCCCTCGCTGGACAGACTATAGACTATATTAAACTCACAACTGGTGATGATGGTGATCCTGGGTGATACATGCCAGCCATGGCGCCAAGCTGTGAGAAATCGGATGCATCCAGGCCTATATTTTTATCACTCTGAAAAATAAAAATTTCCTCAGGCATACTTGGTTTTCATTTCAAAATTCTTGATAATTCAAACTAGCTACGTACAAAGTAGAAAACCGAAAAATCATAAAAAAAGAAAGATCAATGACCAAGGAAAATTGTTTTTGTTTTGATTAACAAATCGCGTGTTTCCGATGATTATAATTATCTGATGATGTTAGAATTAATAATAAATCATTTAAAAGATGTTATTGTGTAAACAAATCATTTCGGCAAATATCAAAAAATCGTTCAAGTCTTTAATCGAGATCAGTTTGTTTAAAACAAGATTTCTTGAATATTCTTGTATATAGAGTGGCACTAAAAATAAACCTACCTACCTGAGATAAAGATCGATGGTGATACCTAGAATTACTGGGAACTAATAAATGATTCTGAAACAAAATAACAAAAAAAACGTGCAAAATAAAAAAATCTGTCGCTTATAGTAGCAAATTAAAAATAATAGAAACAGATAACAAAAAGCTGCTAATATTGCCTGTTTGTTCACCCTATACTTTGACGCATTATATTTTAACTAGTTTAAGTAATTTGTTTGTGATATTTCCCAACAAGAATGCCAATATATATATATATATATATATATATATATATATATATATATATATATATATATATATATATATATATATATATATATATATATATATATATATATATATATATATATATATATATATATAATAAATATTAAGCGACTAACTAACGACGACTAAGACCTAACTTTGACCTCAGAAACCCGCCCATAAGGTTTTTTTGCGAAAAAAAATGTTGAAATTTTTATATTTTTCTTGACATTTTCCGGAAAATATTGAAAAACTTTTGAATGACGCTTGTTCAGTTTCTGGAAATTTGTTTATAGTGCTTCGAGAGAATCCAATGTTGCCACCTCCTACGTTATCCACATTCTGTATGTTCATACATTATAAGTTTACATTTTTAAATTTATACAAAAAAATACTTGGGTAATTTTATTCATTGTATATTTTTTAATCATTGTAGTATCTATTGAGTACAGTGCATCGTCTACTATATTTTAAATACCTTTTTTACAGTTTAGTAAACTGAAATAATGAAACTAAATAATGGACAATTATAGCAGCTTTTCAACAGTTCAGAATCAGCGCCCTCTATTAGATATGTAAATAGTCAATGTTTAACCTACACTTAAACAGATCAGCTGATGGCATTTTTAGGTTATCCAATTCTTTTGAGATTTTACTTAAAACAGTAAACCTCTGACAAAACTAAAAACAATAGGCAAATATAAGGTAAGCCTGTAAAAATAATTTTATTATTGAAATAGAAATATCAAATATTTTGGAGTTTATTCACAAAAACTAGAGTGTGAGATGGCATATGAATGTATTTTGTGGCAACCAATACTTTTTACTTTTAATCTGAATGTTCCACGTCGTTTTTAAATCATTCTAGTCGATGGGAATTGCTTGGTATTTGCGGCTAATTATCGATTGCTGCCGGCGGCACTGAAAATGTTACCATTATTTTTTAAATTTTTCAAAATAAATTAATTCGGTTATTATTAGTCTATTTTAAAAATGGTAAAGAGAAAATATGATTTTTTTGGCCCAATCTACCACTCCCTAAAATACTTACTCTTATTTCTGGGACACCCTATATAATAAAAATAATAACATATAGTAACAGACATTATTAATAAAGGTATATCAAATATATTTTATCCAAATATCGCAGAGAAAAAATCTACTACTATTTTAATAAAAATATAAATTCAAATCTTGAAAGTAAACTAAAAATTATTTTATTTTAATTAATATAGAAATTTAAAAAATAATAATAAACGAAACCGCCTGTCGAAATATTGTTGTAATAAATAACTTTTTTTAGTTTATTTATATAAGTGCATTCATTTTCTTCCTAAATTTTGATAAAATTATCATATAATTTGCCCCCAAACGCACTAAATTTCACACAGCATGTTATTTTGAAAACATAATGGTCCGTTTAACATACTGATATGCTTTATACCGAAATAATGCTATTTTTAAAATATTATTTGTTTACAAAGTCTTAGTACACCCAACATGAAAGTAATTTTTATATCTTTGTGGAGGGTTCATTAATGTAATCTTGTCTTAGAATTATATATTAAAATAAAAATGATTAGAAGAATACAAAAGATTAGTTTAAAAAAATTAACTATGAAACACCAGACACAAAATTCTCCTAAATAATTTGTCTTAAAACGAGAATTTAGTCAAATTAGTAAAAGTTGTTAATTTCATTTCAACTTGACATTGGTCATAAGTTTAATTTCACGTTAAACTTTAATATATTATATGGCTGAAAAAAAACGGCGTTACAGTGACCCTTGAAACGACGTTCGATGATCACTTCTGTCCAGTATAATGTGAACAAACAGATTGATTATTAAACAAATTGCACAAAATAATATAGAAATTAAAGTAAAAGTAAATAAGTACGTTATTTACAACACTTACACTAGGAGGCTGTTGGTAAGAAGCACTACCTACCGAAAGAGGTTGTGATATGGGTGATGATGCAAAATTAAAACGGTTATGTGTTCGCACGCCAGCCATCATGCTAGTTGGAGACAGTGTCGAAGGACTGGTATTTATGGGACTCTGAAAATGTTGATTTGTTGTAAAAATAAAAAAAAATAAAAAACATAACAGAAATGTAAAGGTTGTGAAGTCTATGTAGGGTATTTTGAAAATGAACACATCAACTGACTATCTCAGATTAATGCCCACTTGCACCGTTTGTACAAACTTTGTTTAAAGGCTAAACAGTGATTAACTATAATAAAATATGTATAGTTAATCACTGTTTAGCCTTTAAACAAAGTTTATATAAACGGTGCAAGTGGGCATAAATACAGAAAAATATAGCATACCCGGTTTAAATCGTCCGCAAGATATGCATAACAAACAGTCTCAGACAAATAATATAAATAGGCAAACTTTTATTGACGATCGTATATGATTATAGTAACTATGAATGTAGTAATTCCATAAAATATTGAGTTTGTAAATTATTGAAATTATCATTAATATTTTTTTATCTTGTGTTTTATTTATACCTGTGCAATATTAAAACTTTTTTATTTGTACATAAGTTATATTAATAAATATAATAATAAATGAAGGAAATTTCTTAAGTTTGAAAATAAGAAATAGTTCCTTTTTATAGATTTGTTTAACATACACCCTTATTTGTTCTGTATTAACACACATTGTAAATTTTTATTTTGAAATACATTAACTCGGTTAGATTTGTAAGCCTCATTCAGAACCTCGCAATTAGTAGAATAAATTAGTGGTTTCAATTACACTTTATACTTTTTAGTTTACGATCATTCATAATGTCTAAAAAACACAATTAAAATTAATAGAATATCCTAGCAACAGCTTGTGGTAATCAATTGTATCCACAGAGATAGCCTAATATTTAGCTTATAAAATAATAAACTTTTGATTTGTAACCACAATTTCTCTTGAAGAATAGGATCAAAGGCAAGGGGGCAACGGCCCAGCTACGTCGAAACACCGGTTCCCATTAGAACACCGAAGTTAAGCGACGTAAGGCGATAATAGTGGATGGACGGGTGACCGGTTCGAAATTCTGTATCGTGCCGTTGTCCAATAAAGACAAAAGAGTAAAATCTATTGAAACACACTGCTCATTCACGCCGGTTCGAGGCCGGATGAGATCGGATATCTTATGAGTAAGAGTCTATTAGACACTTGACAAGCCGGTAGGCCATTGACCATGATATAGCCGAGGACCTCGGTTCGGATTCCGCGTAAACAAAGTAGGCCCCGTCCAGATTAGCACTGGCAGCAAAAAGGAGACGTTAACTTAAAAAGTTTAAGTTTAAGGATCAAAGGCCAAAATGACATTCCTCGAAAATTTTGAAGTATAAATTAGTGGAAAAGTTAAGTTTGTTAATTTTTTGCACTAATTGAAAATTACTACCACTAATATTGACGTTCTGAATTCTTAAATTGAAATTACAGGAATAAACTTCTACGCTAATTGAAACCACTAATTTGGAGGTTCTGAATGAAGCTTTATACATTTTTTCATAATAATTTTTTTGAAGTAATTATATGGTCATTTGTTATGGTCATGGTTATATTATGTATACTCGCTCTTCATATTATCACTAAAATTTTAATTATATTAGTTTCATCTTTTGCGTTCCAATTATACCCAACTTATTTCTTAGTAAAATAAAATAAACTACTTTGAAATTAAAATGACAGATGCATCTATCACTATCAAAGATTTTGTCGTTGAACAGACTATAGGTCAAAAAAGAACAATGTACAATTGTGCACGTTAATGTATCATTTAGGAATACCTATGGTTTAAAATGTCTGCAAGATACACTTAAGAAACTATTGTTTGTTTATTCATAATAGAGGCGAATCAACGTTTACCGACGATTCACAAAATGCAACTCTATATAAGCAAAGAAAACGCTGTATCTATTACTGAGACAAAATTTCCAATTTTAATTGTGGTGACATGCTCTACTTTTAATATATTTAATCTAATCAAGACTCTTAATTTGGTTCAATACCACCCTAAGGTTTCATTCGAAAGATTAGATTTTTCATCAATTGTATCATTAGCTCTAATTAATTTAAAAAACTATTATAAAGAATTTTAAAACATCGAAATGCCAAAACTAATTATATACTTAATTTTCTAATAAACAATATCAACTGTATTTGACAGCAAACTATAATAAATTATATAATTCGACGCTAAAAACACTTACAATGTAAGTAGAAAAAACTGAAATTCCAACTGTATTAGCAAATTTTTAATAACTAATAAGTGTCTGATGTGTTCATTTTAACACAAGTCCTAATCAACACTCAGTTTTAAAATAAACAACTTACAGAACTGTAAGGTGAACTATCTTGATCCTGATCAAGTGGTACGTGAATCGGTGATGTGAAATCCATATTGGTCAGGTCCGGTAGTGAACCCGTGTTATTTCCGATCGGTATTTGAACGATGCCCGGGTCATGCGCCGACGGGTATATACAAAAATACGATAGGATCGTTTAAAAATAATTTAACACAAATGTGTGCCCTTTCGACGGCAAATTTTTTAATTTGTCGCGCACTAATTTGATTTTATTTCGTCGATAAATAGATAATGAATGCTTACTGGATGCCGGGTGTTCTGGGTAAGTCGCAACTGGACCTGGGTCTTCCGTCTTGTATCCTTTCTGGGCCGTTCATGGTGGGTAACATGCCCCACGAGACTCGTTGAGAGGGGTCACCGCGTTCCATACCCATTCCCTGAAAGTATCGGAAAATTTGAAAGAAACAAATTATACAGGAAATGTCTCTAGATCTTTTTTTATGATATTATAAAATGTTATACTAGAAAGAATGGAACAATTCCAACCTGGAATATATTTAAAAAATCGTAGCGGTTCCATAAAAATTGAGAAAAAAGAACAATTATTTAGCTGGAAAAGTGGCTCATGTGTGCTATTAGACACATTACTATAGGCTTGGTATATTCTACGCCGCTGCTTCCACCATCGGAAAATACCGTAATCAACTGACTAAACAAATACAGGGCTTTAAATAGTGAGTTCGCGAAGACTTTGTTATATAATTATTCTAAAAGTGTTATGAAGTATAATTTGTAAGTATCCAGTCCAGTCCAAAAAAAAGGAGGTAAATAACGTATGATCGAAAAAAACGGCGTCCAGTTGGCTAAGAAATGACAATCGATGACATTTCCCATATAAATTTACATATAAAATGACAGCGATCTTCAATTCATAGCCATCGCTGACGCCGTTTTTTTTTTCGATTATACAGTATTTTGATATCTGCTGAAGGTTTAACTTGTATTATAATTTATTATCCAAGCCAATAAAACTTCTTAAATGAGTTCAACTACGGTAGCGAGCATAGTTTTACGCACCGATTTTGCTAATGGGGACATAATGGGATATTTGGGCTGTAACGTTTTTTTGTTGTAGTAATTATTTTTTGTAGTTGAAACTGTGGTTCTTCTACTTGCGGTGCCGCGCCTGTCTTCGGGCGATGGCGATCTCCATGACTCTTTCGTTGAAGAGTTCTCTATCTTCTGCTGAACCCCCAGACCGGCCCAGTTCCGTATATCTCAGCCATGACAGTTTCTTTCGACCTACCTATCTTCTACCTTCGACTTTTCCTTGAATGATCAAACGAGGAATATAATATTTGGTGCCACGCATTATGTGTCCGAAGTAGCTAACCTTTCTGGCCTTGATGGTGGTTAAGAGTTCCCAATCTTTATTTAGCTGTACAAGAACTTCTTTGTTGCTTGTATGTTTGGTCCAAGAAATCTTAAGGATTCTCCGGTAGCACCACATTTCAAAAGCTTCTTTTTTATTTATATTCTCGACTTTTAGCGTCCATGTCACGCATCCGTAAAGAAGAGTAATATGTAACAACGTAGTGTTCATAATCGGGTTTGCAGTGACAGGTTTCTATTAGTGAGCGTGGTATTCCATTTTTTGAATGTTCTACGTGCCATTTCAATTCTTGCCTTTAACTCTTCGTCACATGTATTTTCACTATTTAGCCAGCTTCCTAAATATCTAAAATATAGTACTTGTTTTTGTGTCCGCTGATTTTTATCGGGATTGGATTAATTTGTATTTTACCCACAAAGATCCATTTCGTCTTCTTGATATTTATATTAATACCCCATTTGCAACTAGCTTCACGTATCCTGTCTAGCAGCGTTTGCAAGTCTTCCATGCTTTCTGCGACAATGGCGGTGTCGTCTGCGTACCTTACGTTATTTGTGATCTCGCTTCCAATTTTATCGCCTTCTATTCTGTCAGATAAAGCCTCGTTAAAAATGTTCTCTGAATACAAGTTGAATAATAACGGCGACAAAACACGCCCCTGTCTTACTCCTCGTTTTATTGCGATGTCATTTGTAGTTCCTTCATGGACCTTAACAGCAGCAGTTTGATTGTAGTATAAAAGTACTAAAAGGCGTATGTCATAGTTGTCCACGTTATACGATTTCAGATTCAGATGTTGGACTCGATTAAATTTTGTAGCGATAGCCTGATATACTGTCGTTGTCGAGAAGTTATATTAGTTCAGCCGGTATTTCGTCTGGTCCGGGAGTATTGTTTGTTTTTGCCTGTTGTATGGCTTTTTCCACTTCCCATTTGAGTATACTTGGACCAAATTCTGCTTCATAATCTGCCAATAGTATCTCTGGAGCTTCCCGAGTGTCGTCATCAAATAAATGTTGTATGTTGCCACTCAACACATCGGTCTTCATTACTTGTCCACTAGCGTTGTGCTAGGTTGATTTAAAAAAGTATACCATTAATATTGATCAAATTATACTTTATTCTCTCGTAATATATGCCTATTTAATTTTTTGATTATGTAATGGGCACTTTGTCTATTCACTTGTTTCATTGAATTGCCGGAATCCATTTTTGCCTTGATATTATCGGTGTGAGAAAGCTGGGAAAGGGAAATTAAAACAACTTTCGTTGGACGTCATCAATGACACCAGGCGTCGTCTTATGGAGTTTGCTGGTGGTCGTATTATGATGTGCAACGAAAGTTGTTTTAATTTCCCCATATATGTTGTTCCGAGAGAGATGTATTGAATGTTATTGCACCCAACAACCACGAAATATTTGTGAAGGTAAAAGCCTGAGACATCGATTTAAGGCGTCACAAAGTTGTCAGATTTATTCTTCTTACAATGGCCTGGTCTATAAAGAACATCTTAAGCATAGTTTTTTGGGGTTAAAAGATTATTGGAAATGTGATCGCAATATATATATATATATATATATATATATATATATATATATATATATATATATATATATATATATATATATATATATATATATATATATATATATATATATATATATATATATATATATATATATATATATATATATATATATATATATATGTCTGCTTACGCAGTACTAATTTACCTGCATAGCGCTCTGATGCAAAGCGGAATCGCTGTTGGTACGTCGCCAACCCGTATCAGATGGTGGACTAAGATAGGGACCGCTGGAGTAAGGTGAGGGTTTTCTGTCTCTGGTACTTCGAATGGGGCCGCCGGGCGATCTCGTACGACTCTGTCGCGTGGTTGGATTGATCATTCTTGTTTGGGGACACTCCTCGTTCGGCTGAAAGGTTTAAATGAAAAATTACAGAGGGCTAATCAATAATTTGGTAAAAGGAAAACAAGTCAAGCCAACAAATTATCTACAATAGAATTTACATTTCATATAATATGGACTTTCTTTTTGGATACCTCATTATTTATACCGTATGATCGAAAAAAAACGGCGTCAGCCATGGCTATGAAATGAACATCGCTGTCATTTTATATGTAAAATTATATGGGGAATGTCATCGATCGTCATTTCCAAGCCAACTGGACGCCGTTTTTTTTCGATCATACGGTATAAGATGCAGTGTTAATTTTAGATTTGATTTCAAAACACACCATTTTAAACATTTTTTTGTTTAATGCAATAATAGTGAATAGTTAAAGTTTAACCATTTTTATATTTTATTTAACCAAATTTAATTATTACCAACACAATAAAGCTTTTTTATTTGTTTTTATTAAAGTCTTTAATTTTGAAGTGACAAAAATAAAATATACAAAAAACGTAATGAGTTAAAAAAAATTATCAAACCAATTAAAAAAAACTAAATTTAGGTAAAAAAAACAAAGCTGTGAACGTGTCTGTTAGATAAAATAGTAGACAAGGCCATCAACAAAGTTTATTGAGTGCCTTACAACCACATAACCAGTGTTCACTTTTATAAACATTTTCACAAAAATGACGAATACGCGATTTTAATTTAATATTAATATTCAAAAAATGCTTCGGAGGTCCTTCTTCCATAGTTTCTAATTTTTCTCAATACACCATAGAACTGAAGGGCCATTGCAAAATTATTTCTATTTTACAGCCGCACTCAGAATTGGTCATCGCGACGTGCGACGATATTTTTATCCAGAACAAGATGTGTTTAAAAAACCACATCACACACCGACTAGAACAGCGAACGGGAGGCGTAATCGCGGCCGAAAAGTACGCTGACTCCGGCTCGCGTTCGGCGGCGTTCAATATGTAACGAGGACAGTCGCATCATCGCGCTGTCCAGATATTTTGATTTTCAGCGTTTAGTCTAGTTTTAATTATTAAAAACTTAATAGATTAGCGTTAGGTATTAGAGTTATCTATAAAGCTCGACCAATACACACATTAAATAATTGAAATTGAATTTAATTATTTGAATAAATTTACTAAGAATTTTAATTTACCTATTATAGGAGATCTGTCACTTTTTTAAATAAAAACGTATTTCAATATTTTGAAAGGATGCGACGCATTACCCGCATCAATGGAAATTTCACCGCTGAATATGGTGAATACGTCATTATTTCTTTATTGTAATTTTTTTAGTTTTGTCTGACGAAATCATATAGGTATTCTCTCACTAGACAAGCTATAATAAATTATAATAAAACAATATTTTTAATTATACACCTTAATCAAAACACTTCTAATTACTCTATCTCGATCTAAATAAATTATTCTAGTTTAATAATAATAATTTATTTAGACTTAATTATCTCCTAATTTTTTTACAACAAAAATTGTGTTTTCGAAAAATATAAAAGTTTTACCACATTTACAGAAAATTTTTAATAATACTGCCATATATGATTAAAAAATAAAATTTAAAACTTATTAACAATACTTGATTATATCAATAAACAATATTTTACACAATTTTTAAGATTCCTAAGGGTTGAGACACTCAAAAAAACGTAAAACTATCATATAAATAATAGAATATACCATCCAATAATCTTTTAGCTTAATTCGATATTTCCAAAATTACATAATAATACATAATTGCTAAATAAGAAGAAGAGAATAAGAAGTAAATAAATAATAAGAGAATAAGAAGAAGCATTCCTCTTATCAACGTACTATGGTACTATTTGTCAAAAAAATGCAAAATGTAAAAAACAAAAGAATATTCTAAAGTTCATGCCCATTCACCATTAATAATAAACAAGCTGATGAACAGCTTATACGTTATATGAATAACTATACAGAGTGGCCAAAAAACAGCTGAAATTAAAAAAAAATATGAAGGGGTATAAAGATTTATATAAAAATTTCTTTGTAGGTATAAACTATTATAAAATGTTCAATATCAATAATTATTATTTCATAAATATGCCTAATAGATTTATAATTAATATCATTAAATAGTCTACATATTTTAACAGTATAATCATTAGATTGAAATAAAGACCTGTTTGTTTAAACCCTCAATACTGATTAACTTTCTCACACAAATCACTCAAATTAGGTGATTGACTACTACCTACTTGACTGAGACAAAATTATCAACTAAGTAATAATAATTATAGATTATGATATTGAATAGAATTATATGTATTGGCAGTATTTTGGATTCAGAGTTGTAGAATGTAGAATGAGGAAGGGAGTTAATCACCGCAAACCTTACAGATTTATTGTGTCTCCCTTTCTTGAGTTATAACTCATCAAACAGTCCAGTAGTAACGTAAGTTATAACTCATTAAACAGTCCAGTCCAAACAACTCATCAAACAGGCTTTGACAAAAGCCAGTATCTAGGACGGTAGTAGTTTTACAGAAGGTAGTTAGTTCTCCATCTTCAATATCAGTCGGACCAAAGTTTATGGAACGAATGGTTGTCGTCTCGGCGCACTCAGTGATGAGGAGTTCTGATGTTTCCATATTGGGCCGTATTTATAAAAATGAAACATTTACTTTCAAGTAACAGGTAGAAGCAAAAGGTAGAAGTAAAACGTTTTGCTACAATTCGTATTTATAATCTCTACCTTTTCCTTGTAAGGAAATGCTTTGGATAAATAAAATAAAAGGTACAGAGATACAATTATAACGTTAGGAGTACTGGTAAATTTCACTCTGCATCCAGTTGACCAAATATATGCTCAATCACAACTCGCTCTGATTTAAGCAGCCTGTTGAAGGCTGAATCTGATATTCCTCGAGGGGGTTGTGATAGGAAGTCATGAGACATGGCATTATACCTTATCCACTGTCCCTTAGTAGTATAGTGTTTCTTGTCCTTTTCATGATTTCACATACTGCCGAATTCTTCCATATACGAGAATCATGAACTGATCCAGGCCAACTTGTATCTATACTAGTTATAACACAATTCTGGTCGCATGTGGCCTGCACATTAATACTGCTAAAACCTTTTCGATTTATATATTCGTCTCTAAATTGGGCTGGCTTTTCAATACGAATGTGTATGCAGTCAATAACCCCAATGGCTGTTGGGAAATGGAACTTGCTCAAGCACCTCATGAAATATTCTGGACTTCCGCTCTGGAATCCAGGATTCGCACAATAATGCAGAAATACTTTCATTTTCTGCACAGGTGATAGGGCTGCTCCACGTGTTTCAAGAGCAACCCTGTATATAGCACCCTCCGCGCCAAGAAAGTGGTCCGGTTGGCGGACACCACATTCTCCTCCTCAAATCTAAATAACGTTTTGAAATCTGAGTCACGTGGCGTATGTCTTGGTTTGTAGTATTTTCTTGTAAATGCATCATATTAGCCATAACAAAAACACTGAAACCACACAACCAAAGATTACTAGGTAGATGTTAACACAAAAAAACACTCCTACAAATAGACAATTATTATTTTTTTAATGTCCGAGCTGTTTCATGGTTGGCCAACTACTGAAAAGAGTTTATTTTTTCCAGTCCTTAATTTTTCGAAAATCAAAAAACTAATTGCACATTCTCATAGCCACTTTATTAGGGCTATCTGACAGTATTTTTAGATTTTCAAATTAGCAGATAATTTGTGAGATACAGAGGCCAACTTAATTTTTTTAAATACGGACCTGCATTTTTTATTTCAGATTTTGAAAGAACTCGGTCTTCTGAATACAATGATATGCCACACTTTATACTTTTTTTTTGTTTTGGATACCTTAACAGCAACAAAACTATTTAATTATTATTTAAAATAATTTCAAGTCCGACTCTGGTTCCTTAAATTATTTAATCTGATTATATTCAGCCCAACAATATTGATTAGCGCTAATTAATTAGTATTGAATAAGGAAAATCGAGCCAATTGGAAGATTGAAATAAATAATATCCACGTCAGAAATTAAAAAATTTTTAACTTTTTTTTATTGTGAATTTGAAATCTCAGTATGCGATCTAAAATATGCATAATATTAATCGTAGTTATTATAAATAAATCAACTTCTACAAACTAGTTTCTAATGTTCTACATGTTCGAAAGGGTTACCAGTTACCCACCCTTCCTATTGCACAAATTTATTTTTCGCTCAATTTTATTTATAGCTCTTTGAACTTTTTTCTTATATTTTCGAATGCATTTTGTACTCTTTATTGTAAATGTTGAGATGAATTATTGATTTCACTTTTACAAATGACGTCAAATAATGTAGCCCCTTGACGATAGGTTCAGGAACTTCGCTGGACATTGTACTGCTCTACCATTTCCAATCCATCTTCCGGGAAAATAATTTGATTGTTTATATTATTTTATTGCATTTCATTTTCCGTATCCAATCCCACGTCATTGTTAAATTTGAAAGCTTATCAATATTGTAACGATGAATAGATTAAATATTTAAAAAAACAGAGCCGGACTTGTAATTAGTTTAAATAAATTGTGTTCAAATGTCTAAACAAGAAATATTATGTGTGGCATATCATTGTACTCAGGAGACCGATTTCTTTCAAAATCTGAAATAAAAAATACAGGTCCGTATTTAGAAAAATTAAGTTCGCTTCTGTACCTCAAAAATTATAAGCTAATTTGAAAATCTAAAAATATTATCAGATAGCCTTAATAAAGTGGCTACGAGAATGTGCAATTAGTTTTTTCATTTTCTTAAAAGTAACGACAGGAAAAAATAAAATTGATTTAAAAAAAAATCAGTTTTTTCCATAAAACTCAGCAATAATTGAAATTTTTGAAACTTTTTTGATGGTATCTTGGTGAACATTCCATAGCGCAACTTTGCCCCAATTTACCCATGTTCGTATCTATTACGGTTACCGAGATACCAATGCTCGTACCTCGA